GTACTCCACGTTGTCTGTGACGTGGGTCGCCAACTTGTCAACTACCAGGGTTTCCCGGCCGTTGACCATGGACCTACGGGGCGCCGAGTTGCGAGATGACACTATCGCCAGCAGATCCCGGGGCGACGCTCCGCCGCACATGCTCAGGTAGTTGATGCCTACAGCCACCTCTTGCCTCGTTACCCTACTCTCAGAGAACCAGCGGATAGGCCGCCACTGCGACAAGGTCGCAACAGAGGGCGCGTTTCCCCCTGCCGTAGACATGTCGAGCACCTCGTCCTTGACGCTGAACTGGTTGACCTGGCCACCTCCCTCGACGTATCCAACAAGTCCTCCGTTTCCGCGGCGGCGGTCCGCCCTGTTGCAATGGTAGGGAAAGTCTCGTGCGCACTGACGCCAGCACCCGCTCTGACATTACGGAGTACCTGGGATGCCAACGAGACGACAGTAGCATGATCGGACCCCCGGGGCGGTACGCGTGTCGTGTCGGAGTTCCCGCCTGAGATTTTGGCCCGCCGTCTTAGGCCCTGACACCGGCAACTGCACGGGTGCATGCATCGAAAAGTCCCCAAGCCTCAATGATCACGTGCACTACGAAAGCCGGCAACACCACCGCCACGAACGTCATCGAGCCAAAGACTAAGGTTAGGAAAACGCTGCACCAACAGATGCCCGGTGCCGAGGACCCCGCAGGCATTCTGGTGCCATCCAGGAACAGTGAAAAGCCGGGTTTCCACGAGTAAAGCGTGGAAGGAGGGAGAAGGGTAGAAAGTCAAACCCCCTTCACCGAGCGCGTCGGAGGGCATCAGTGACGGAAACGCTGCAGCGGAGCAACGTCAGCAAGAGCGTGCGGGTCGGAAACTGCTTCGGACCGTGCATAGGTTTCGGAGAACGGCGATTGCTCGGGAGTGCAAGGCGGGTTGACAGATGTTAATTTCCTCGCCTGTCACAGTTGGTGTAGGGTATTTCTCCGAATACCGCCGAATCTGCTACGAATTTCTTGGACGGAAAGAGTGAAGTTAGTCAAGCCCGTTTCCATGGAGTCCTATTTTTTCACCGACATGGGTCCCGTTTAGCCTTGGATTGTCGAGTCGGTTTGGCAGTATTTTCACATCTAAGTAGTTGTTCAACAGTGTCGTGATACTGAAGTACTGAAAGGCGGAGGTTTGGCGTCAGATGCGTATGGGTTCCCTCGTCGAGAACGCCTCCTCAAAGCTGACAGTGAAACAAAAACTTCGAACTATTTGGCAATGACGCCCCGCGATGTTTTGCTTCTGATTCGATCAAACCAGGAAGATATGCGTGTCGGAGTGGGGACGCAGTTTCACACCGGGACTCGGGACACCGAAAACCCTGTCTATGGAACCGTTTACAAGGTCAAGGCGGATGACGATGTCGAACAGGCCTCGAACGACGTGGTGATGGATTCAAGCTGTTGCATGCAAACGGTTCCTGCTGGTTTCGTCGACACAGACGTCGCGATCGACGCCGGAACACCAACAACCAACAAACTAGCAGGGGGAAAGGGTGGGCAGGGGCAAGAATCCGGGTGGCTCACACCGGATGGCCGTGATACTGTCACCAACTAGGATGGGATAGACGGCAGTCTGCCAAAAGCATGGAGAAGGGGGGAAGCGGGAGTAGCAGCATCAAGGGGTAGGATGACGCGACATTGACGACTATTCTCGGGCAAGGATAGGAGTAGTAGCAGCGGCGACTAGGAGGATGGCGACAGTGATGCCTACTCGGGCAAGGAGAGGAGTAGCGGCGATGACCAGGAGGACAACTTGTACAGTGACGTCTACTTGGGCAAGGATATGAGCAGCGGCAGCCACATGTATAGCGGCAACCACATATTGTTTTCGGCCGAATGGCGGCTTGCGCGACAGTTGGTGGCCGTGGGAACATAAAAACAAATGGTTTTGTGCCAATTGGATGTGTTATCGGAAAGTTCTCTCGCGGTGTCAGAAAAAAGCCGTGTTTACGAGACCGCCGAGGTGGTGTGCTGCGACCACATTCTTGGGCGTACCTCGGGAACCACGTGCTGGTTTCCGCTAAATGACGGCTTGTGCGACAGCCGGGGGCCCTGGGAACACAGCTCAATTCGTTTTGTGCCTATTGGAGGTGTTTTCGGAAAGGTTTTCAAACATATGTTCATCTACGACACCGCCGAGGTGGTGCCGTGACGTCAATTGGGACCGTTTCTCGGCAACCGCCGGTCACCATGGGACGAACGAGGGCTTGCGCGACAGCTGAGAGCCGTAAGAACACAACGAATGTTGTATCGAAGATATCTAGGCGGTGTCGTAATTATTATTGGGGTCGAAAATATGCCCCGTATGCCCAAATGTCCGCAGTAGTCACCCCCTTCCGACCATGGTATATCCGTCCCCCTTAGCGAACCCTAACCAACGCAAGAACTACGCTTTCGATGCTGTTTCAAACCCGCCAACGTTAATTCCCGGTAGGAACGTCATCGGGGCCATCGACGGCACCCACATTCTGATCCCAGGGCCGGACGAGGAGCTGATGCTCGCGTACTACAACTACAAGAGGTTCTACTCCATCCTACTCTTGGCGATTGTGGGCAAGAGCAGGCTCTTTCGTTGGTTTATGTCAGGCGCAGCGGGCTTGCGCGGGGATAGCGGTGTCTCACAAGCGACGTCGCTTTACAGGAGGGCATAGGAACAGTCCAGGCCCCCTACTGCACGCAAGATACTCGCAGACGGAGCGTTCATCCTCGGTGACTCCGACTTTGTTGAAGGAGCACGGCTGCGAATGCCCTACACGATGCCGATACCTAGACAGAGCGGAGTGCTTTTTCACCTACAAGCACCCTCCATGAGAATGCGAGTTGAAGACGCTTTCGGCAGGTGTAGTGCCGCACAACCAACCCTAGACTAGCGCCTCCCGCCCCGCTGTACTGTACGCCATGTATCTTTTGTTTATGTTGCCCGAATGTGTGCATGTGTATGGATTGGATTAGTTGTTTCGCTGGTGGTATGGGTCGGCATGAGTCCGTGGTTACATTCGATATTTCGTTCGCTATCAAGACGCCGCAGTTATATTGTTGTGCATACCGTCCCTTCACCGCCCTCCCCGCATCGGTGCTCGACAGGTGTTAAGTGGAAGTTCCTCTTGCTCCAACCATGGCCTCAACCTCAACCTCAACCTCAAGGACGCCACACTCTCATCACCAACATGCCGTAAAAACCTCCCGCAAACGACCCCCCCCCCGAAAAAAAAACTTGGAATACTACGGAGTTTTGAATATGTAGGACTTGTGTTTTTCCCTCCAAACTTCGCTATTCCCAATCCATGCAGAAAAATTCTCACATTTCCAGTGGTGTTGCGGCGCGGCGGCGTGCGTTGTAAACTTGTTCGTACCACCAAGCAAGACAATCCACCAAGTCTTTCCTACACCCGCCGCGTAGACAGTGAATGAAGAGGTAGGTTTTTTGTTCAGAAAACGACACAACAGGGTTTACCCTGGTCGAAAAGCGGCACACCTGGGTACACAGTCATTAACAGCAGTAAATGCACTCATATCATTGATCAGCGCCCAATTTCACCCCGGTGCGCCCGAAAAGGCGCAGGGTATATCCTGTCGTGACTACTTTTCTCAACAACTGTACCCTGTTCTCGGAAATGTACCCTGACCTGACGGGAAATGAGACCCTTTTATCAATCATTTCCCGCGCAGGAATCTTCCCAACTCCTTTTCTCCTCCAACGGTGGGATACCAAACAGCGAATTTTCCCGCCCAATAACAACCATGGCAACGGGGCAGGAATCAGTTTCCGCCCCTGCGAAACAACACCAGCCATCAACTCTTCCGCTCTGAATCAACAACGGCCGGGCAATACCCCAGCACATTTGTTCCGTTTGGAAACATGCACACACGCGTACAATACCCTTTTTTTGTTTCCTACAGTTTAGGCCTCGAGATATTGAGCTTTCCCTCGAAAAAATCTGTGTTGGATACTCCATGTCGAGTTTGTACGCGATGTCTCCTCTTCGATTTTGACTCTTGTGGGACTCTTGTGTCTGAAGGTACATAAGAAAAGGGCGGATGGAGCATGCATGCATACGAGAGTGTCGTCCACAAGACGCAATAATAATATCGGACGGAATGTGTGCAGCCTTTTTGCTACTAGCCGGTACGAGGTACCGTGGGCGCAGGCAAGTTGAATGAGAGCTGCAGAACACGCAGAACGAAAAGGCGGAACAGAATAACAAGCAACCCACGCGACGAGGTAGACTAACTGCACAGCAGACCACACCCGCCCCGGAAATAAATGAAAAATAAAGGCGCGACGCACAGAGCACGTTTTTTCGGGAAGATAATCGACTATACCGCTTCATTGGGGTTGCCGCGTGTGCGTCCCTCGCAAACTCGCTCTTCACCTATCTTTTTGCGGCGAGCCAAGTGCGATCAGGTCTCCGAACGTGATGTCACCGTTTCAGTTTGTGGGAAGCAAGCGCGGTCGAAAAGCTATACCAGATAGATTGGTCCCGTGCCTCTTCTGTTGGCACCGTCTTCTTGTGTATAGCTCTGCTCTGCGCGGAAGGGTTATAATCGTCGGGAATGCATGGCCAGTGGTACCAAAATCGGAACCTTTGGCGCCGGTAGACCTGTCCGGTGTGAGTGCAGGGATCCTGGATTTCCCGGCAAGAGGTTCGTCCGTGTTTCGTAGACAGGAACATGGACGGACCGGGTATGCATATCTTCGGAGGTCACGAGGCACAGTTTTCCCGAGATATTGGGGGCTCCGCGGTTAAAAAGACTCGCGTCTTTCATTGGTCAGTCGGTTGGCGCGGCGCAACCTACCACACAGCCGACCGCCGACACACCGACACAGCACTGCTCTCCCTGTGCTGTTGGGCTGCTGTTCGTGCTCAGCATCTGTGGTGACCTCAACACCATCGAGCTCACCAAGAGCACAAATCCGTGGTGCCAGTAAGGAGGCAGCAGTCGGTGAAGAGGAGACAGAGGACACATGGTGTCCATGGCGTGCTGCGCTGCAGTGAGCAGTGTGAGCCTCAGCTTGCTGTTGTTGAAGGCAACGGCGTTCGTGCCCGGTCCTTCGCTCCCGACACGGCAGCGGGCTCCACTGCCATACCGTGGGCAAGCTGCTGCTGCCTCCTCCATCAAGGACGAGCTGCGGTGTTGTGGCCGGGAGAAAGGGACGAGAAGACGCCGCAGCCGCCGTAGCCCGGAGCTCTCGAGACTTGGCGCTGGCGGCGGCAACAGTCCACCTCTGGAGGTTGTTGTTGATAGCGAACACCTGCAACATGTGTTGGCAATGACTACTGGCGGCTGTTTCCTACCGACGCCTGATACAAGTTGTTTGATCCTGTCTACCGTCCTTGCTTCCGCACAAGTCGACGTGGAGCATGTTTTTGAGTGCTTTGCCTGCCTAGCATAGATTCCCATTCCAGGTTGTGCGGTGTGCGGCATACATAGTCTATGTCGCACGGTACCTGTACACTCCTTGCTGTACATGTACTTTGTGTAAGATCGCTGTTTTGTCCACGTAGGATCGGGAGCCAATCGAGCTGCCACCGAACTGAGGGGGTTGGGTCTGTAGCGCGCCACGACTCCCCTCCCCTCGTCCTTACAAGTTCTGAGCCACGACATCGTGAGAGTGCGGCGTGCAAGGGTAGGTGATTCGCTGGTCCGCTGCTGAGTTGTCGTCGGCGCTTTGTAGTTCCGGTTCAAACTGGAGCTCACCCGGTCCCACTGCTTGTGCAAAGTAGACTGTGAGTCGCTCCCGCGACGTCGAAGGAGAGGCGATGATTTGCCTGATCGTGCAAGACTTCGGGTAAGAACACGATTCGTTCCAACCAATTGGCAGGTTTTGAGGAACGACAACGCCAGGGTGCGGCGGAACCTCGAGCGCATCCGTCAGGTGGAACGGGATGACACCAAGACGATCCGGGCCATCACCTCGTCGGCGCTAAGGGGGAAGCTACGCCTGAGCGGCCGAGATAAGCGTGGCCGCGTGTTTCTCCCGAGGTGAACAGGTCTCCGTGTGTTGTTATCGTTTTGGAGCTTGCTCAGGGATCGGCTTTCATCACTGGAATACCGCTTGCATGCCCGAATTCAGACAGGCTGGTCGATTGCGGGAGATCTGCGGGTGCTCTTGCGTGGTGCGGGACGCGTTCATATGCCGCGGGACTAGTTATGTAATACAAGGGCGGTGGACGCGGGGGGCTACCGCCCCCATCGTCCCCCGTTTGAGAGTCGATGCGCATACGAAACGAACGGTATAACGGTGTAACCTATTTATGTGATGAGGTAAGCTAGCAGTTTTTTTTCCAAGTTTGAAACACATACCAAGTGGGACGGGTGTTCGTTACAGCAAGAGAACGATAGACGCAGGTTCGAAGTCGAGCGAAGCGTGCGTCATCATGCTCTCATGCTCTCCGTATACACTTAGGCCACCGGCTTCTCTGAAGCAAAATGACAATTGTTGAACGAAGGTTGAAGCTTGTGGCGCACACCGTGTGCATCTGTCTGTCTGTGTGTGTTTTTTTATTAGGAAAAATAAATGCACACACAGAAAGACTACCCATTCGAGATATACCCACGTTCGAACGGGGTGTGGTGGAGTCTTTTCTGTGAGTGGGGGGAAAACCGGCTGGGTACTGGACTTAATTCGAGTCTATTTTAAGTCTTTACACTGATGATTTATATCAGTGACACCAGCTGGTCCTAAGTACAAAAACATCTGTAAAGGTAGCCTACATCTTGCAATACATCCCCTGTAGTTCTCTACTGGGTCAACGACAAAAATATCGGGGAGAATCCCTCCGTCATGTCGTGTGTGTGTGTTTTTAGCATTAGCATCGACCGCGCTAATCGGGTGACCAATGAAAAGACGTCAGTCTTAGTGCGGTTGAAAACACGAAACACTTTTATCTAAATTCCATTGACTGGGACCCCGTGAGGGTGTAACATGTCTGTGTGTGTGCAAGTGTGACTTGTACCATATAGCTATATTAGCCGTGAGACTACAGCAACATACAGCAGTCATCGTTTTACAAACATACACACACACCCCGTGTCGTTCTCCTGACTACAGCAGAGAGATCCAGCACACAGAACTGATGAGAGACATGAGCATAATGCACGTGATATGTGTTCCGAGTTCCGAGAGTCAGTTGCCGTCTTCCGTCTTCTCAATTATTTCCGGAAGAAATAATTCTCGGAATATCCTGCAAGTTGCCGTTCCTTTGACATTTTTGGGAAAGATGAGATGCTTGCCTGTGCGTGCAAGTTAGCAGTGTTGCACAGCAGTCCCTAGCACACGATGGGCACATGATGGATGGTGCATAAAGCGCTTACGTACCATTTAGTGGGAAGCAGACATGTGCGGGCTATGCATATGTGGTTGCTACATTAATTATAGACATGTTCCGAGTTTTGTGATAACTTCAAGTTCCCAAAAATACCCCGAAGACAGTCCCGTCCAGTAAGATCGCTTGTTCTTTACAGTCCCGAGCGGAGGGGTCCGAGGTATAGAGAAAAAGTGCGACGACGTGGTTTTGAGCCGTCCCGCCGGCGCGCGCAGGTCGCCCGTCGCTGGACGCCCGGAGCCCCGAGCGGCGGCGTCTCGCTGAGAGAGGGCTCCCGGCGGGCTTCGCGGAGCGGGAGGCCGAGCGGCGGCCCCTGCGTCGCGCGCCAACACTCGACGCTATCGTGTCGACTTGAGAGTACGCGCAATCCCGCCTCTTCGCTCTCAGGCGCCGAATGGAGGCCTGCGGTGCGCCCTCAGCCTGAGCTAAAATTCCTTACCTCTATTTTCGTTTCGTTTATGTTGCGGTTGAGGGTTCTCTCGAGGCATGGGCAACGTTCCTTAGCGTGCGCAACAGCACCGAAGAAACGGGCCACGGGCGCTCTGGGTTCCTCTTGGCACACGAAGACCCGACCCGTTCAACATCTCACGATTGTTTCCCGTACCTACTTAACACCATGCCACTCTGCCGACGACTAGTAGCCACTCTCCCGACGACTAGTAGCCACCCTGCCGACGACTAGTAGCCACCCTGCCGACGACTAGTAGCCTGTACTCTCATTCTGTTCCACCTCAGCCCATATAAATATGAGTGCAAACTGGTGTGATGTTAAATTTTGAACTACCAGGAAGACAAGGGAGTAGATAAAGTACTTGAGGTTCCGATGCTGGACGGATATGTATGGATCCAGCGGCATGACTCAGCCCCCCCCGCCCCCGCCCCCCCCTACGTCTCGCAGAGATCCCGCAGGCGGCTCTTTGGAAACCCTCCGCCGGATGCTGAAGGAAACATTCCCGCTGGGAGACTTCCCTGTGGCCCTCTACGTAAGTCGACCCTTCGAAAATCCGACTTATGTGTGTGCGAGGGATATTTTTATCCGAGGTTGTGTTTCGTGCCGAAGGGGATCGGTGGTTTTCCCTTCTTTGCCTTGCAGCTATCTGGTAGCGTCGTTCTGTCCGCCTCACACCGGGTGTGTGCTGTTGTTGGAACCCAAGCAGAAGCAGAGCTGCTGATGCGTGCTTTGCTCTTCACGGCAATGAAGACTTGCTGCACAAAGTTGTGCGGTGGCCGCCGCATTTCTACAGAGGCACCCATGAACGCTACTGGGTTCTCCTGTCCTCTACAAATCCTATCATGTTTTTCTTTCACTCTCGCGACCCTTATAATTGCGTACACCGACGTAACGCCCCCATGCCCCTCGCCCATTGGGTTTGACCCTCTCTACTCTGGGGACATGTGTTGCCATGCCCCCCGCCCTTAAGCTTTGACCCTCCGCTCATGAAAATCACCGGCTGCTGCGTGCCGTTCAGCAAGACGAGGTGGCTTTGATACGATGCTTTGGTGCATGCTCTTGGTGTTTTCGTGGACCTCTCAGGTTAAGACCAGCCTCGGCGAGGACGCTCAGCGGTCGATGCTTACGTCGGACGAGGGCTTGCTCGGGGCCGTGGCTTGGGCGGAAGGGCAGGGGTTGGATCTGAACGTGTTCCTCGATGTGGTGAGTCCGTTTGTGTGCGTGGCTCGTGCAAACAGAGACAGATTTCGGCTCGTGAACAAAGCTCGGGGCCTAGGGGTGGGTGGGGTCAACATCTACTCTCTGAACAGACCACCCTGGATACATTGATGCCAGATATGTATGTGCTGGCCACTTGTAGCTTCCGTGCGACACCAGCAGCGCCTCGGCTCGAAACTCACCCAGCTTGCACTTGGCCGGTGTATTCGTGTCGCAGTGCTGTCGTCTAGACCACTAAAGGTGAACGTAAAAGAGGCCGCTGTTTTCGTGAGGTGTTCCGCATATGTCCCCCGTATCCCCGTTGTGGCCTTCTCGCCTGGAATTGCCGTTGCAGCTTTCCTCGCGTGTGTTGCTGTTGCCGTGTTGTACTCTCTCGCTCTTGATGTCAGTGATGCTGCCTCAAAATACTAAATGTTTGCTGGTGCTGGTGCTGCTTCTGCACATTTCGTAGCACTCGAAGTAATTCAGAGGATCAGGCACAGATGCTTGAGGAGTTCTGCACGCCTTTTAGCAACGACCTGAAGCCTAGCCTCTCCCCCTGATTCGCTCACGGGCGTCTCGCTCACGATCCTCTTGTTCCCTTCCTCGCAACTTCCTTACCCTTCTGTTGTTGTTGCCGTCGACCCTTCTCTTGCTTTGTGGTTGCGTTGCTGTTTGATTTGTGATTGCGCCGTCCCTCCTTGACACAGCACCCAGACTACGAAGAGGAGGAGGCGCCGGAGTGGCTCGTCGACGTCCCCGACCCGGACTCGGCGCCGGAGTGGGAGATGCTGAGCTTTTACCGTTTCGTGGACATCGACCAACCGGAGGCGTTCGCCAACATGCTGCAGGTTTGGTGTTTCGCCACACTCTGCTGTTGGAGCGCTGTTTTCTGTGCAACGTGTTGTCATACTCATGTTTTCGAGTACTAGTTGCCCGGGTTTGTTTTCTCTGGTGCTTAGTGTAGTCGTGGGACAAATAGGAGTTCGCTGTCTTCTCTCTGTCATCGGTTCTGGGGATTGGCTACATGTCCTGAAGGGTGCGTGTCGTGGCGATCGCGTTGTTGCTTTCCATTCGCTGCTGCGGGTGCTGCAATGCCGGCAGAGCAGCCAGCTTGCAGCGTTTTATCGACAAACACCTTCCACGAGTCTTTCGCCACCACCGTGTCTAGGCCCTTATACTCGAGGGCTTCTTTTGGTGCGGTTATATTGCTATATGGGAAACCGGACAACAGGCGGAATTCTTCCATGGTGTTCGAGGCGGGTCGTATTGTGAAACATGCTGTATCCGGGTTTCTCATTTTAGCGGGATGCGTGCACCACCGATGCCGGTACGCGGCGACGGTACCTGTGCCCCCGAAAAAAGCAACCAGCTCTCTCTCCCTTGTTGGCTTTTCTTGTGCGTCGTTTCATGGAACTTGCTTCGCCTGTTGCCCGTTGTTGTCCCTGCGTCCCGCGTGCGCCCCGAATGCGTCCCATGTGCCTAACGCGTGCGTTCCGCGTGCGTTCCGCTCCCATGGTGCTGCTGGCCGCCCCGGCGGGCAGCTGGCGTGGGCCCCGCTGGGCGTGCGCGGCCGCGTGTACGTGGCGACGGAGGGAGTGAACGCGCAGATGGCGGTGCCGTGCACGTCGACGGAGAGGTTCGAGAGAGCCGTTGAGGCCGTCGAGAAGCTGGCCGGCGTGTGAGTGATTTTTTCATCTGCACGGTTGTGGGTTGGGGGTAGGCTGCTGATTTGGGTCTGTAGCTGTGGTCTTGTGGGACAAACCAGGTACAGAGTGCACCGTGCTGTGGAAGCTACGCTCTGGGTTGCGGGCTTCGGGACTGTAGCCGAAGTCTTGCGGGATCAAACTAGCTGCTTGGTGCAAGGGGGCCACCGGATTGGCGTGGGGGAGGGGGGGGGGGTTCCGGGACTGTCATGCTCGCACCCGAGGGGAGAGTAGGACGAAGAACGCCGCATGCAGTGGGCATCACGTGGAAACCTCCTTGGCACCCTTCGAAGCAGCGAGTTTGGGGTGCTGAGTTGAGCACGGGTGCGATGGTCATCAGAAGGGATACCGATACTTGCAGACTTTTGTTTTTTTTCAACGGGGATGGCGAGAGATTCATGAAATGTCGTTACAGGGCCTCATCATCCTCGTTTTCCTTCTCTATATTCGGCTTTGCGGTCGGTTTTTGTCCGCCCTACAACAGCTAACTTGCCAATGGCCTAACAGCTAAGGCATGCAAAATATAAGTACGCCCCCCCCCCCCCCCCATGCGTCGATTCGTCAAACGGGATATGTATGTATGCTGCGAGAAGGTACCTGAACAAGGCAGAGCGGCGGTGGAGCGGGGACGAGTTTCGAGAATCGCCTCCGTTCCCCGCTCTGCACGTGAGGGCGAGGAAGCAGATTGTGGCGGATGGGCTGGCTCGCCCTTTGGAGTGGTCGGACCGGTGAGTGAGTGAGTGAGTGAGTGATTTGTACTGCTGTGACTCGCCAAGGATTTGGACGGCCTTGGGTGATGTTGCTGGTGTGTGTCGGCTGGGGAAGCTTCTGCTGGAGCTGTTACTGGTGGTGGCGATGATGCTGCCGCTCTGGTGGTCGTGGTCGTGGTCGTGGCTATCGTCGTCGTCTTGTCGCCGACTCTGATATGGTGATATGGTGATATGGTGATATGGTGATATGGTTGCGTTATGTTATTGTAGCGTTCGTTTTTTGAGTGGCGGGTGTTTCATGTAAGGATGAGGATGCCGGTGACACAGGCACCAAAAGTGTGCTGGTTATCCGTCAGCGGAGGAAGGTCGTGTGCTCACCGGGCTTGGTTGCTACTCTTTTTCTCTCTCTCCCCATGGTGCTTGTATTTTCCCGTGGGCCTCTTTCGTTTTTTTTTTTACCGTGGTTGCCTTTCAGGTACGGTAGCAGCAACGCTTGAAAATTGCGCCATAACGCCCGCCCCGTCCCGATTGCAACCTCGAATCGAACCGCAGCCTAGCACGGAATCTTGACACACAGAATCGTTTTAGTCTGGTATCGTCTCGTGCTACAGATAGCGCTCGTTTAGTGCTGCAGATAGCGCCCGCGGCCAAGAACCGCATGCTGAGCATTACGGTCGACCTCGGTTGTCCGGTTAGGGACACACCTGTTTTTTTGCTAAAGAAAAGTGTTCTTAAGCCGGGGAACTTGCCTTGAGGGCGATACCCCTCCTTACGTACATTCTGCGAGCTACCATGCCCGTGATTTTCTTTTTTTTTGTCCTTAACCGAGGGAGTTTCGTTAATTTTGGTGTCCTCAAGCGAGGCACGACTGTTTGTCGAACGCAGGAAGTTGAGCACCATTTGTGAACCCAGTTGAAAAACCCTACACTAAAGCGTCCATTTGTAGCCCACAAGAGGAACTACTGCTGTACTGCAAGAGCCCCAGCCTCGACCAACACTAGAGGTTAGTGATTCCGGTCGCTATGTATCTGTATCCGATATTTGTCCTGCCATATTTCCCCCCCACAGGTCCGGTAAGGTCGGGAAAGAACTGTCGCCCGAAGAGTGGCACCAGATGATGGACAAGGAGGAAGGCGCCACTCTCCTGGACTGCAGAAACTCGTGAGTTTTTCGAGGGGAGAGGGGTGACGGGATAAGATGAGCACTGGTGGGGGGAGGGGGGGGGGGGTAGAGTGCTACGTGCAGGTTGAGGTGCAACGGCCGCCCTTAGAGCCACAACGCGAACCCGGAGAGCTTGCCGTGGCGGTAGTGTTGGCTTTGGGTGCACTGCCTTTTGGGCAGTCTTGACCCGCCCCGGTAAACGCCGCCTTGGCTTCGAGGAGCGAAATTGTCCCGAAACGTTGGTACTGTGGATTGCTTGTCGTCTCGTCCTTGGTGTCTGGCCTGTGCATCGGCTTGTTGGTGCCTCTCGTGGTTTGGGAAGGAGGTGGAGGCGAGGTTGGGCAGGGCACCGGCCAGTGGCCTTTCGGGAACCCTGTTTGTGGTCTTGTCTTGAGCCCCCCAACACACGGAAAAGTCGTAGCAAGGGGGGGTGCTCGAGGACGCAAGTCCCCGCCGCACAGAATCAACCCAGGGCAAAACATCGCACGGCCAAACCAGGAGAGCAGGTTTTTGGGGTGGGCATTGCCCGGGACTAAAGGGGAGGGATTGGGAGAGGTGGTGAGCGTCGTAGCAAGAGAGGGTAGATGGCTGTAACAATGGCCCAGAGGAAAGTCTTACCCAATTTTCGATTGAGGTTCGTGGTCAATGAGCCCGAGCGCAACACCTCTACCAAGTGAAAGTGGTTGGTGGGCAGGGGGTCTGGACAACTGGACAAAACGTTTGGTGAGGCTTGAGTGATCAGTGCTCCTTTTCCTTGGCCGTTGGCCGTGCCCAGCTTGCTTCGTCCGACGGTCGTGCGTTGTTGCGTGTGTTGTTCCCATTATTCCCCAAGCTACCGATTCATTCCCGACCCCCGACGTCCTCGAGGTCAATGGCCAAACGACTATATACGGCATGCGCGACTCTGAGTACACCCCCGACGACCTCTTTTTCCCTCGCCGCCCGAAGGTACGAGAGCGTCGTCGGAACCTTCGACAAGGCCCTCCCTCTGGACACGAGCTTCTTCCGGGAGTCTTGGGGGGAGCTCGAGCGGCTGGTCGGCGACGCCGACCGCGATGCGCCCATCATGACCTACTGCACCGGCGGCATCCGCTGCGTCAAGGTGCGGGGGTGGCGTTGTGAGCGAGTACAGCAGTGCGCACCGAATGGGGCCCCCGTGTCTTGGAGGGGGTGGGTGGGTGTTTTATTTGCGGTGCTTTTGAGTCGCGCCGGTGGTTGTCAAGGCGGGGGACGTGCCACAGGTTGCATTAGATACTGTGCCACACCAGTAGGGTAACATTTTCTGTGGTACGCAAAAGTTATCACGCGGGTGTGGTATTCTGCAGGGGGTGGGTGTGATATGTTTTGCCACCCGTATGGTAAAGTGCACTCACTGAGCCCCGCCTACAGGGTGTGTGATAACGCCGCACGTGTGAGCAAGTGCGCTCAGAGCAGGAACCCACTTACAGGGTGTGATGAAAGGGGTGTTTGAAAGGGGTAAGCAATATGATCTGTTGGTGCGGGCCTCTGCAGTGATGCGGTGTTGTGCACGGTGGCGGAGGGAGTCGTCTCAGCAGGGACGACGCGCTCCCCCTCGGCGGGTTGAAGAAATGACGTCATGGAGCGTGTAGCCGCCGGTGGCGTTTAGACCTACAGCAGGCTGAGGCGCTCGGCTTTCACATGGGTTGTTGACTGCACGTTGTTAACTGCACCCCTCTCCACGGTATTTTGTCGACCTCCATGGCTTTTGCGCGCATGTTGCTTCGCTTGCGTGCTTGTGGTGGCATGTTGTCACGTTGTCCCACCGTGGGTCATAAGCGGGCTCCGTCGACAATATGCGGCTCAATCGTGTGATGTAATTACGGTATTTTCCGGGCTTATGATGGCTCTCACGGCTGTGGTATTCTGTAGCATTTCGAAGGGGGGGGGGGTGGTGTCTTAATGCAGTCTACGGTAACGTTCTTCTTTGGGGTACCCAACTAACGCAGCACAGGACTCCATAGTGCGAGTCTCGCTACCAAGGCCGGGGACGAAGTACGGAGCCCCGTACCGTATGTGTTATGGTGATACGCGTATACCATATCACATACGGCACGGGGCTCGGCACTTTGTCCCCGGCCTGAGTAGCGAGACTCGCAATATGGAGTCCTGCGTTGTGTCGTTGGGTATCCCAAAAGAAGAACGTTCCGGAGCCCCGTACTACCGTAGGTTGCATAGGCTATCAATCACACTTACGTAGATACCATACACCCTTCGAAAACGTACACAATACCTCACCCGTGTGCTATGTATTAACTCAATTAGCGCAACACGGGACTCCATTTGGAAAACCGGGGTCTTGTCGACAAAGCCGAAGCGGGCTTTCCCGCGAGCGTTCCCCCCTCGATCCGGCAATAGGGACGTGCTTCGGACGGAAGTCGAGGCGATGTAAGCTGCAAGTATTCGCGCGCCGCTGGTCCGTAGTTGGCTGAGGGACAGAGAGAGAGAGACGGACAGCGACGCACACAGGGAGACAGAGGCACAGACAGAGACAGATACCGAATGCTTCTTCGTGACACAAATGCGGGCTGCTGCGGTCCTTGTGTAGAGTGTGCGTACCTTCCCAGCGCGCGGGCACGTTTCAGCAACTAAATGTCGCGCCCTAATTTGTTGCGTTTTTTCGGGTTCGGGGGAAAACACGTTGCCCTATTTACCAGATTGCGGCGTACCTGGAGCAAGAGATGGGCTTCACGAACGTGACAAGGCTGGGGGGCGGGATCATCTCGTACGCCAACTTCGCCAAAGAGCGAGGACTGGAGTCCAAATTCAAGGTACATTGTTCATGCCGACCGTTAATGTTCCGTGCTTTATGCCTGGACAAGCAGGGGCCGGGGAGGTGCCACACGGTTGCGATCATATCTGTGAGATGGCTTTTGTTTCTCGCAGGCATTCGCATGATTTTTTTTTTTTCCCTTGCGATATCGCCGATGCCTGTGGGCTGACACTGAGTTCCGTCTCCCCGTCTTTCTTCCCTTTTTTTTTTTTTTCTCTAGCGTACAATTGTGCCGACGTTTCACGACACCGAGAAAAAACACGGCAGCTTTTACCACACAGGCTCCGCGTTTCCCGATGTACCAGGCTTTGTTTTTCCCAACCCCCCACCCTCCCTCCTGCTGTAGATGAAGATGGTTTTTTTTCTTTGTCCTCGGCAAGGGGGGGGCTGGAGGTCAACCTCGAGGAGGTGTGGGATTGGAGTTCTTGTGGGGGAGGGTGGATGCAGCTGCCACATTCATGACGTATCTCTCCGCAAGACCCTTCGTGGATGGATAGGACGTCCGGTGCGAGATCTTGCCTCGGTATGGGTTTTTGCCTGCAAAGCACAAGCACGCCTTCGTCTGATGTCTCGCTGCTTGTTGTGTCTCTGATGTATGTCAGGGCGTGAACTACGTGTTCGACAAGCGCATGGGGGATAAGGTTACCGGCGACATGCTGTCCAAGTGCCACCAGTGCGGAGTGCCTTGCGCGGACCACACCAACTGCGCCAACTCGTGTTGCCACGCTAGGCTCATCCAGTGCGAAAGGTACGTTGTTGTCTGTTGTTGTTATTGTGCATTGATGCCGTTACTTGTGAGATACGCCGGCGGGAAAAGCCCCAACGATTCCCTTCCCTTCGACCCCTAACTCTCCGCATCGCGAAAGACCGGTGGCGCCTTCGCACAACTCGCAGCCACCGCCAACCCTCGGACTTCCAACCCTCGCCGCCCTTCGCCTAACCCCTCCCTCCAGCTGCGCTTCGAAGTACAAGGGCTGCTGCAGCCGTGGGTGCGACGACCAACGGTCCCGCGAGGACCTTCGAGCGTCGCTCATGCGCTCGGAACGCGAGGCGATGGGGCTTCCACCTCTGCCGACCCCGCCGTTACCCTTAGACTCAACTCCGACGGCGGCGGGTGGGGCAGGAGAGGCGGTCGACGATGACGCCCAGGGCGGTGTGCCCGGGTCTGCTGGCCTTGAGGAAGCGACAGCGATAAGGACCGAGACGCTGGAGGATGAGGGGGAGCTGCTGTGGCTGGTCTGGCCTTTCCAGGTACGTTGTAAGGTTGAGGGATCAGGGTTCGCCCGACCACGTCGCCAAGCGAGTCGCTGTCATCGTGCGATGCGTATTGGTGCGGCCACAAGAGGGTTTTTGATTGGCCCGGTCCACACGTTGTGGTGGGAGCGGAGGGATTTGCGATCCCTGTTTTTTTTTTTTTTCTGTTTCTGCTTCGGCGGTGTGTGGTGAGAGGGGAAACCGGGGTAAAGGCGTGGCCTGTGTAGCAGGCAACGCAAGCCTCGTGCACAATCTAGAAGGATTTGCCGCGTGGGGAGACTGTGACGGTGTGTCATTTTACCCCCTTCGTTGTTTCTGACAGTTGGGTGGGCCACGAAAATCGAAAGGTGGAGTGATGGCCGCCCTCTGTCCTAGCACAACTCCCCGCGCTCTGTGCATTTCCGCATCTTTACGTTGGGGGCCACACCCACCCAACGCACAACTGATGCACGGCACCCCCTCCCGGCCCAACCACAGGATCCCACCCTGAACCTGATGTTCGACCGCGCCTTCGACGAGTATCGAGATTCAGCCCCGACGGGCGATGACGGCAGTACCGTGGAGCAAGACTCGTCGAGGATGATCGGCATCGTCTCCAGGCTCGGCGGCGGCAAGCGGGCGCTGGCGGTGGGGCTTGGATCCGGTGGTGCGGCCGGTGAGGTTTATGTACGGGTCGGAGTCGTGGTGGTGCTGTTGAATTGATGCGGTACTGTAGCCCGCAACACAACTGAATGTGCGGTCGATATCGAGTACAACAGTTCATCCTCTTCTTAACACTACTTGATGTTGGCTGTTGACGATAATTCCCACCCCGGCCGGGCAAACGGTTCCAACATGTCCCCATCCGCTCTTCCCGTTCCTAAACGAAAAGGTCGAGCCGGCTTGCGGCGGCTGGCGGAGGCATTAGGGGAAGGGGGTGAGCTGTTCGTGGTGGAGGCGTCCTACGAAGCGGCAAGCGCGGCGCGAGGCCTTTCCCTTGTCGCTCAGGGACGAGGCTGCAGGTACGATGCGGTACGATGGACCCACCCGTCCCTTAGGGTTTGGCGCTGGGTGCGGGGTGGGGGGTTGCGGGGCGCGAAAGGTTAGGCTGGAGGAAGGTTAGGCGCTGTTTGTTCACGGCGGCGGTGGTCGGCGATGTACCTGGCAACAACGCGGGGGGCGTGGGTTGCACGAACGGGAGGGGTGCACCCAAGCCTTGGGCGGAATGTTGTTCCGTCTCTTGCGTTGAAAGAAGGGGCTGCGCACCAAGCCTTGGGTGGAATGTGTTTCCGTGTATTGCGTTAAAAAAAGGGACTGCGCACTTAGCCTTGGGCGGAATGTTGTTACGTGTGTTGCGTTGAGCGGAGGGGTTGCGCACCAAGCGTTGGGCGGAATGTGTTCCTTTTGGTGAGTTGAAAGAACGGTGAGGAATGCTGTTCCTTCTCGGGGCAGTCATGTAGTCATGTTTGTGTGTGTAGCGCACATGTTTGTGCTTTTGTTAGTTTTTTCGTCATTGCGTTCCCGTGACAGGCTTCCGCTTGTCCCACAAGACTGTTTCCTCAGCTTCGGTTTTAGTCTCGTGCTGTGGTCGTTGCTCCCGTTGGGCGGCCAATGGCCATGTACAGCAGTGCCAGCAAAGCACGTGGGACCGTGAACCGGTGTAATAGCATGCGAGCAAATTACCACGCGTTCAAGGTGAGTTTTTGCCCCAGATCTGCGAGTCAAAACCACCTGCGCCTCTCGTGCCGTGGCTGGCGCCAAGCCCTGAGTAACCCGGGGTCTATTTGGCATTTTTTCAAGGCCCACGCCTCTCCCACCTTCGAAGTCCGCGAGAACCGTTGAAAACCAAGACAACGTTTCCGTCTTTGTGCGTTGTATGATACAATTCTCCGGAATCTGTGTACCAGTATATGCTTAGGACCCACACCCGTCCCACCTTGGAATTCCGTGAACGAACCAACGCAGCGTGACCGTGTTGGTTTGCGACGAGGGGGAGATGCTCCAAAGTGTTACCAAGGTCGTTGCCGGAGCCGATTCGCCGAAGGCCTCGACGGAGGCGGCGGCGGCTGCGGTGGGCAAGGACGGGGACGTAAGGCCGGATGGGGCTGCTCATCGGTCTGCGCGGGGTGGGCTGTTCGACGTCATCTTGCTTGGCGGAGGGGATGGGGTGGAAGGGGCGGGGTCGGTCCCGGTTAGGGAGGAGGACCGCACGCCATCCGAAAGACTGGACCTTGTCATGGACAGGCGAGTGCGAAGGAAAAATCCTTGCAAATGCACACAGATGTGTGTTTTGTTGGGGTGCTGATGTTGAGGGTCTTTCATTACGAAGGGCTCGGTGACCGACGTGTCCTCTTGGGTGGACGTAAAAAACGGTGAAAACGCTCTCAGTGGCACTAGGGAGAAAGAAACACAACCATGATGTTAGACAACTTTTTACGTTGGAGATAGGTCGGCACTATCTCACAGCAGTTTCATCTTGACGGATGTCTCCGCGATAAGTCATGGGTTTGTTCAGTTTCAGCCGTCCACGTATGTCAAGACCTTAATGGCCACCACCCATTTAGCTCACGTCACACGCGATGACCCTCTCCCTCCCCCGCCAACCGCCTCGTTGTGTACCAACTGCCAGGCGACTCATGAAGAGAACCGGGCTGGTGCTGTGCGACCCGCAAGCTCTCGGGGGAGGCCGGGCGGCTGCGAGATCGATGGTAGCGCGGGCGGCGGAAGTGAAGGGCAGCGTTGAGCACGCTAGGGTCCCCGGGGCTGGGCCCAGCGGGGGGTTGCACGTGTTCAAGTGGAAAACGTATTCGCACTAGATAGATGGTCCACCCCCATGTAGGTGTAGGTGGAAGACAGAGATGGGGGTTTCGTGTTCCCGTTTCCGTTTTTTTTCAGGTTTTTGTAGGGGTAGTGTGGCGCCTGCGCTGCGCTGCAGAGTTGTGATGGTACCCCTAGCCTACCCATTGGAGCCATCGCCTCTTGCTGTACTTGGCAAACCTGGTACATGGTGCGGTTTTCAGAAGGGGTCGTGGAACATTTCGCAAAGAACGCCAAGATTGGTTGTTGGATCGTGTTGGAAATTCGGCGATGCATACCGTATTCCACTTTAATGACGTGACCATCGTGCTACAACCACCTTGTGGTAGGAGGAATTGTTATTGGTGTGTACGTTTTTTATGTATGGCTTGTTGCTGTGCCGTTTTGCGGTATGTCGTCTTTGGTCCGTTTCTCCTCCGTCTGCCTGTTTGCTGGCTGTTGCACTTTTTTTCTGTATAGCGACAACCGTTTCCCGTTGCTCAGGCGTTTGATTTCTTGCAGTTTGCCCCCCGTTCTGTGTTGCGCTATGAGTTTTTGTTTCCGTCGGTGCGAACGTGAGTCTTGTCTTCATCCGCCCGAAGAGCTAAATAGATGATTTGGTAGAACCTCGAAAAATACGAATAACTACCGCACGGGTGGTAGAAAATGCGTTCATGTGATCAAAATTCTCTCCTCGACCGAGACCGTTCACCCATGCAAGGAAGGCGAGTTCCCATTCTATCGACATTCACACGGCCATCATGGTCCCATGCTCACAAAGTAAGGCGGTGAAGCGTGACGATACAAGGCGATGGTATCGTACCGAGGAAGCGTGCTCTGTGTGACCAGTCATAACTTATGTTTGCACGTGTTGGAGCTCAAACTCTGTCCGGGGTTCACTCGCGGTAGCACGCAACCGCACCTTGAAGTGAGTGAGAGCGTCCCTTGCCGTAGCCAGGAGAAGAAGAGCAAGCAAAAAAACACACACCTACTTTGTATCACAGACAGATTCCGGTGTGTGGATACAGTGGGGGGCCCTCTATAGTGCCAGGGTATTCTACCGGCACTATACCGGGCACTGACACTGTTCAGAATAATGGTGCCCCAAAGTGCTGATTTGGCACTATTGATGCTTCGAATGTCCCTCAATAGTGCCGATCCGGCACTATTGAGGTGTTTGATTTAATCGTGTGGCGCTCGCGCTTGGCGGGGCCAACAGAGTACGAAATGGATCGACCTTGAAATTGGTGAAGTTCTAAGCGTGGGTGTGAGCAGACTTTCACGCGACACAGTGGTAGAGTTCGTTGCAAGACAAAAAAGAAGAAAAATAACAATCGGAAAAAAGAAACACGACGACAGCAGTGCACTGTAAAAAAACAAACGACCACTACTGCAGCTGTAATCTCCCCCCCTCACTACGTCGCGATAAACTCTCTCATGTCTGCCTGGCGCATCTGCTTCGATGTTGCAAAAAAAAAAAAAATACAAGTACGACAGGAAGCGCACCGCCAGGCAAACAAACAACCATGTGGCGCGGCCATGAGGGGCTTGCGGTATCCTGTCTGGTTGAAGGCACAGATAGTTCACCTTCCGCACATAGGATGGTGCACCTCTGCGCAGAGCTCTTTGGGTCTGCAGCAGCACGTGTTCCGTCTTTTCTGTGTTGCATCTGTGTCCGCTGTCTTGTGTGTGTGCGTCTGCATTATTACTTCATCGACTGCACTAACCGGCTGACCTATGAAAAGACTGTGCGGTTGAAAACACAAAACACTTTTGAATGCCACCCCATGAGGGGGGCGGCATGGGGGAGGCTAAGATATTCTCTGCATTCAACACAGAAACGGTAGAAGCAGAAGAAAAGTGGACGTGTCTACCAAGGCTGCTTCCTTGCACTCGAGTTCGTTTTGGAGTGTTTTCACTTTCACTATCATTCTCCTTGCTTTCACTGCCATCACTTTTTTTATTTTTACAGCTAGTTTTCGGCAGTTCTTGTCAAGGCCTGCGTCGTTTGCTGTGGGGAAGGTCATCTGGCTCGAAGTTCGTGATCTCTTCCACTCCATGCTCCCCTCCTCCGTTGCTGTTTTGGTCGTTCTGGTGTGTGTGTAGTGAACGACACTATTGCGGACCGTGGTACCCAACCGGTACTATATCGGGGCCGGCCTCAATAGTTGCGGGGCGGCACTATTGAAGGCGCTGTCTGTGCCCAGAGATTTTACCGGCACTCTACCGGGCACGGTACTGTTCAATCTGCACTATGGAACCCCCCCCACAGTACTCGCTCTATCCTCTTTGTTCGCGTTCGTTTGCCCATGAAGTTGTGTTTTCTTTCACCCATCCGAAACCACCAAGCTCGGTGTGCTCTGGGTCTCGCTTAGTTCCACAGAGGCGGGCAGCAGCAAGGGGAACGGTTGTGAGGTATCGCACCGGATTTTCCAGGTCCTCTTCGCTTGTACCTCTTGTTCTGGAAATTACAGTTTAGTGTAATGGAAGACGAGTTTGAGCGCTCGCGAAGTCCTGCTTGTTTGATGATCATTGAGTCGGTTGGTGAAATTTGAAAACACTCGTGGGTTTTGTTTTTGTGGTTGTGCGCTTGGCCGACGCATCTTCCCGGCATTAGCATGGATGTTGATATCCCCGAAGCAGTCTGTGCGGGATCTTCCCGTCATTGATCACTGTCGTCATTCAGCGACGAAACAACGCCGAGTTCTAGCCACGAAAATCGCAACCCGCGAAGCCATCTTGCATGGCAAACGCCATTGTCAACGCTTGCTTCCCTGCCAATTTCCCCCCAAAGCATGAATGACCGTTCTGGCAATAAATGGGGGTAACTCATTGCGGACTTGCACGTTGCCCAGGCGAGTGTACCTTGCAGACCCAGGGTGTGTTTGCACCGACCGAATCCCCGACACCGGCTCTAATTGCGTATTATTGTTGCACCACGGGATAAACTAGTGAATACCCAGCCCCCGCCGCCTCTGCGTTTCCCCCAAGACCTGCCGCTGCCGCTGTTCGGTGCTTTTCCGGGGGACGAAACACGGAGTCGAGGGCGATGCTGAGGGTGTCATCGATAACCCGGACGATCATACCTTGAAGCAAGGGGCACACGAACTCCAGGCACGGGTTGGAATTAACCTGCGTCGAAATTGGCCGTATTTCAAGTGTTGTTAGGGCGAGTACAATGGGTAGATACGCGAGAGACCAGACACGTGACTCCCGAATGATATTCACACCTGCTTCTTGCTGACCTTCGATCATGGGTTCGAGACGCGCAAGTTAGTGTTACGGAGAATATTGCCGAACGTCACGCGTGTCAGAGCCCTCTGAGTCGACGGATAGGGCTGTGGCGTATATGGAACGTTGTTTCAATAGGTCGTTTTGATGGCGGTGACTTCAAGTATCTTGTTGCCCCTGCAACCACCTGCTTTGTTTCTTAATCCGGCAAAGTTGAGTCCTGCCCGAAAAAGAATCGGTGATCTACGAACAGAGATCTCATTGAGGTGCGAAAGAAAAATCAAAACACGCTGTAGACTAGCTGTGTAGGCCATGGCAGAGAGAAAATTGGCGAATACATGGAGTAGCCCACCGCATACGACGTAAGGAAACACACCCGCGTGACAAGCACGAGTTGTTTTCTGTACCTCATATTGCCGCCGTGTGAGTTATAGTGTGGTCCGAGTACCAATAGTCTCCCAATATTTGAGAGTGATTTCATGTTTGGGCTCAATTTGATCCGTAACATTATTGCCACCGGGTGTGGTATTGTGTGTGGGGTTCGTCATCGAATGTCGAATATGGTGCACGAGAAGAGCAGAGTAGTGCAATTTGTGGATTCGAAGGTTGTGAGTGGACAACGGAAAGGAAAACATCTCCTTGGAATATCCAGATCGCTATGTTCAGACAACATTGTCGTTAGTGGCCATACCTCGATGAGGTAGACTCGAAGATCATCGTCAACCATGAAGTCGTACCCGAGGAGTTCGAACGCGTAGGGACGGCCTCGCCTGTTTATCCCCGCCTGTGAAGCCGCGGCGACGGAAGTCGCTACCATCGAGTGCATCCGTGGCCGCAGAGTTTGCTCAACCCACCCGCAAGCATTCCCCTTGTGAATCGACCTATGCGACGGACAGGGCAGGTATATGGCTTGAAACACCGCACCGTGTCTTCGAAGGGAAAGGAATTTCGACTGTTAAAACGAATGTTGGTGCCATACGTTGAGGCTCAAAGAACATTTAACGTCACCACGTTTGACGAATACCACTCGCATGCGACATCGGTGGTGGGTTGTGCTTCAACTAATCTGGGAGAGTTGTCGTGTGTACGCACACCCAAAGCTTGTTCATTGATTGCTGCGTTTCGTCTCGACGTTTCCATCAAGTGCGATGCATCTCAGCCGTCTGCCAAGGATCGAAACCTAAATCCAGGTGAAATTCCGATGCCCAACCATTCGCTCATCAAGATGAGCTATACATGTCAAACCTACAGTAGAGTTCGTTTTCACATTACTCAAGACTCGTTTCTCCTTCATCAAGCACAGCACACTGCACCTACGTGGTAGCCAAGGTACGCACTGCTGTCTAGATAGCCTCTTCAACAACAAAATCGTATGACCAGGAAAATTCAGTCGAAGCGATCAAGCCACACACGGAAGATATTGTGATGTACAACCTTTCGCGTGAGGGGTCATCATCGCCACATCCAGAAAACACTTTTCCTGCTCTGGACTCACTCATCCCCGTCGAGCCAATCCTGAAGGTCAGCTAAGGTGAGCTTGTTGCCGGGCTCGTCGTGGCCATAGCTAGGACTCCGACGCTGAACGGCATTGTTCGTCAGGTGGATGAACTGAGGCCATCAAGCGTAAGCATGGCCGGGGGAACACAACAACGCATCTATGTTCAAAGAGAGTGCACCGAGGATGGGCAGGGAATCTTAGCCAATTCGATTTGAATCGTTTGCTATGCGCGGAGAAGTGGGGCCACCTCGCTAGCGAAACGAAAGAGCGTGCGCCTATCGCCGAATCTTGACGGTGGAAGCTAGGGTGTGGATATCGTACTCTTTACACACAATCATCCACTCCGATACACTTTAGAAGCGTATTCAACGCCTATGCACACAGACGTATCTCAGGAACAGGACCTGTGTCGGCGTTGCAGCCAAATCAAGCGGAGGGGGTACTGACTGTGTTCATCCTCACCCGGTCTTTCACCTTGCTGGGGTGATTGCTGTACCTCACCGAGCTGGTCCGTACGTAGGCGTCTTGGTGACACCACGCCCTCAACGGACAAGGAGGCGGAGGTGACGAAACGCCGCCACCGCCGAAGACGCTGCTGCCGTTGGCGGGTGCCGCCTTCGGCTCTCCTCGCTCCTCAACACTTCCCGCCTTCTCCGACAGCTGGCTCTCCGAATCCGAAGATACTCTAGCCGTACCTTTGCTAGCATGGCCTCTGGGTGTTTGTTGTTGCTGAAATGGCTTCGATCGTCTTCGCCAGGACCGGGTGGACGGGTCGGCAACGACCAGGACGAAGAGACGGATGTCGAACTTTCGGCCTCGGACCAACAGCGGCCGTTCGATGTATCGCTGCACGACCCACCCACTACGCCCGGCTTTATTGTCCGTGGCGTCTACGATGCCCAGGACATCCTGGGAGGCAACGAAAACGACGCACCAGGGGGAAAGGCTCAGGCCGGTGGGGGTGGCCCAGTTCGCAACGGCTGGCGGAACTGACAATAGTAAGGTTTTTGCACAGGTTGGATGGAAGAAGCTATACACGCCGACAGGCAATTGTTTCCACGACATCCTCATGAGGAACACTTAGGATTGCAGCGACGGCGAGGTGTAAGGGAGAATGCAGGTCTCTCGCAAGGAGTAACGACGGCAGAAACGCTGACATGAATTCATCGCTGAAACGTCGGATAGAAACCCTGATGGCAAAGCCGACAAAGCCGACAAAGCGAGCCAAGCCGACAGAGCAAGCAACACGAGCAAAGTCAGCAAAGCCAGCAAAGCCAGCAAAGCCAGCAAAGCCAGCAAAGCCAGCACAGCCAGCTAGATATCTTGGCCACCGAAGTGGTGAATGCGACGTTTGGACCGTCCGACAGTACCACCGCGGCGCTCGCACCGGTGATACCTCTATTTATCCCTGCGGGAGAGATCAATTACGGTTATCCGAGGATAAACGAATAGCAACCACCTCCCACACCGCGGGGACCCAGCCAACAGCACGTGCGTTGCATGACAGCCGAGGAAGAATATTCAATGTACGGTGGGCAGGCAGCGGAGGGGCATCATGGTCGACGATCGCGAGATCGGGACGAGGGGGGGATAGCTCGAAAGTGGGGATTTTGCGTGCTACAGTAGGTGGATCTCGTTTACCTCGAGGGAACAACAAACTTGTATCCCAAAGCCACAGTTTGAGTTTGCGGCCGGCTTGACCACCCACGTCGGCATGCCCCCGGCCGACGTCGCTGGATCCACATCGCTGCTGCTCTTGCGCCTATTTTTCCCTGCTCCATCTGGTTTGATGTCGTTGGCGATGCTATTTCTTGTCGAATCGCCCTCGGTAAGATCGATGTTATCGGTCCCTTGGTTGCCCTTCACCATCTGAATGCCGCCTCTAGTGCTACGCTTTGGAGTTTGATCATTTGACCCTTTTTTGGAAGCTCCTCCTCCCCCTTTCCCTTCTCTTGCTATTGGGTTCGCGGAACGCCCCTCATCCCCTTCTTCTCCATCTATCTTCGTTGCTGTCGCAATGACAACCCGAGGGATTGGACCGTTTCTCCCATTCCCCGATCTGACCGTGCTCGATTCAGCAGCGGCACCAAGCGACTCCGAGCAGTTGCTGACCGGAGCGATGTCGTTTTCTTGTGCGGTAACGTCATCGGGTGGCAACGGTGAACTCGCCACGTCCTCTGGACATTCCTCGTCCTCTGGACGTTCCTCCAGAGAGACTTTGTCCGTAGGGGTTTGCGCAAAAGGCCCTGGCGACCGGGGAGCCGGAGGGGGCGACGCCGATCGCACTACCGTTTGCGGCGGGCACGATTCGGCGGCATCATGACCGGAGAAATCCGTTTCGGACGTCACTGCTACTTCCGGCACCTTACCTCCCGCCACGGGAGCGACCATGTTCGTTTTACAACCCGACACCGATCGCACAACCGCTCCTAACGGGCGAGAGACGCAGCCGCCTCCGGTGAGCACTACGTCTTCGACCGCCGTGTCCGGTGCCAGCGTCAAAATTGGCTTAGCGGGCATGACCGATGACGTCTCTGCCGTTCTTTGCTGCGAAGGAGACGTCTGTGCCAACGGTGGAAGAGGAGGTTCTTGCGCTGGGATCGTCGTCGAAGAAGCTTCGGACGGGTCCCCCATCGCTGCACAAGCGGCAAGAAACGCCGCGCGGTCGTCGCCGACATTGCCTTGTTTGCCGCTCGCGCTACCGAGGTTGAGGTCTCTGCCGTGAGGGTTGCCGGGGGCCTTCGAAGACCGCACGGCACCGCCCGAAAGGTAGAAGGTCTGCGGAACGATCCCGGTAACGGATTGGCCCTCGGAGGCACAGTAGGCGCGAAGGCTCTGCCAAAGGCCCTGAACCCAGGTCAGGGTCAAACGTTACGAGAGGCAGATGAGACGATGGAGGTATGGCCTAGTGGATAGTGGTGAGTGCAGTTTTCTTGTTTTGAGGACGTGCTCTATGTCTCCGTTGGTGTTTTTGTTCGAGTAAGGGAAGAATTGGACGTACCTTCGCACTCTAGAAGCGCGTGCGGACATGAGATTCATGTACCGTAAACTACGGAGTTTCCCCCCCCCGGGGAGGGGATCGCTTTTTTTCTGAAACCAAACCCGCCGGGGGGAAAGTGACGTTCGGCGGGGGGTTAGTTTTTTTTTGTCCAATGCTACCCCGGGGGAAAGGCCCCCCCCCGGGGGGCTTGTGCAAAATAATGATGGTCCACACACCACACACACAGAGCGTGGCGAAACTGAGATGAATAATGTTTACGAGCAAGCGTCCAACAAGCAGAGGGAGGAGGAACGACAAGAGCAACGAAGGCGAAGAGAAAAAAGACAGCAAGGCGGACAGCAACTGGGGGAGTTTGTCTCCTCCCGCGAGTGATTCCAAGAAGAGGAAGGACCCGCCTTCCAGAGAGTACCCGCAGATCTGCAAATGAATTTTCCGTCCCACATCATGCTTTTTGTGCTCTGCGATGCAACAAAATCGACTCAGAAAGTTAGGGAAATACTTTCCCCCGAGGGGAACTCGTGGGAAAACTGGTACCCCGGGAAGAAATTGAAATACCCGGGGGGATCTTCTTTCATTGGTCGAAAACGATCTACCCCGGGGCTAAATCGACGAAACCATGCTTCCAGGCCGAAAAGGTAATGGGGGGGGGGGGGGGTGTACTAGGGGGGGGGAACTCCGTAGTTTACGGTACACTAGAAGGAAGGCGAAGGGAATGGTAGATACGGAAAACCACAAACTACCATCGACAGTGGACGAGGCAGAAAAATGGACAGAAATATAAGAGACAGAGCGACACTATACCCTACTGAGAAAACCAGCTAAAGATATGGCCTCATCACGACCCACCTTCTTCGAGACAAGTGTGTCGTTGAACTCGAAGTGGTTCACGGCTTGTCGCAAATTCACGTCCAAGTTGGTTCCCTCGATCACTGGTCGCGAAGCGTACATCTCCCACCACAAAATTAAAAGTCTTGTTGCTGTGAGCGATGCGTGGCGGGAACATGACATAAAGAGGAGACAAGAAACACAAAGACGAAGAGGCCGGACCGTGCAAATCGAAGCGCGAGTTTTTCAGTGAGGAATAGGGATAGGAATCCACGACAAACGGAAAGGAGACGCCAGGGAATTTTTTCTTTGTGGTCGTCACAAGCCATGTTGGTACAGAAAGAGGCGTTCGTTGGGTTAGCGCCAGGTCTCGTGAAGAAATTTAGTCAACCCTATCTCAATCGGCCCGACAAGTGACAAGACTGTGAATCCTGCCTGGAGTTATAGCAGACGCGATCGGATGGAGTGAGCTGTATGCAACGAGCAACAGAAGTAATGTCTTCATGCCTCGACGGGGAGGGTTGCACGTGATTACGAGATGTAGCTTTTGCGTTTGTTCCACAAAACTCATGTCCTACTGTACACGTAGAAACATCTTGGTAACCGCTCTCTAGGGCACCGGCAACAGAATCCAACCGCAATTGAAAGGTATGGCATTTCTACAGTACATCACATTTCAGTCTGTCTGTCCTCGTCCATGAGGTACACACCTGTACCCAGCCTTGCTTCCTACGCTTTTGGCATGTTTTTTCCTTCTCGAGGTGAAGGAGGAGCGGACGACTGTCGCTGCTGATTCATCCTCTTCTCTTCGAGCGGGTCCCCACCAAGGTCTCCGACGGAACGCCGCCAAAATTGCCCTCGAATTATTCCCAGGAATCACCACATACTTCAATGGTTCCATGCGATGACGGGAAACACCCCCAAAAAAAAGCGACGTGAGAACGATAATGCTGTAGCCAGGTGTCTGGAGCGAGTGCAAGTGGTGCGTGGGGGTGCTCATGACGGCACAGGAAGTTCTCGTGGAACCATATCAAGTGTCGCATGGCGCTTGGAGCAGAACTACTATGTAGCACACAACACTTCGACGATCCTTGTTTCTGGGTACGTTTGCCCTGTTATTCTCAACATGGCCCTGCGAATATCGTTCACCGAGGAGCCCGGCCACCGGAGCACTGCATGCGGAGGTAGGACGTTACGTGCCTTAGCAGACGGCACCAAACCTCAAAAGAGTACCAGTATCTTCTTTTCCCCGAGGCTTGCCCCTTCCCTCCTCTGCGGTGATGCAAATGAGGGCTACAAAGGCTTTCGTGTAGGATGGGATTCAAGTCTTTATTGGCTTCACGAAGAAGATGAACGATCAAATTCCAAAGGCACCTGCACCTTGAAGGTGATATCGTGAGATGGTGCCGCCTGTGGTGCCTTGCTTGGATGCCCAATACATTTCTTCCGGCTTCCCTTTATGGAACATGCGATACTCAATACTCTTCACTCACGTTGTTTCGAACAACATACCTACGGACAACAAGAGGCATTGCCCAAACTAACTAAGTGGGCTCGTAGCACGACTCTGCAGCCGAAAGTCCATTGGAGTCCACCAGGTGGTTGACTCTGCGGCCGATAGTCTACTGGAGTCCACTCTTGCTGTAGGTGGTTGATTTGAAATCCGTCGTGCGCAGTCGTCATAGAACACCTTCCCTCCTCTAGCTTTCCTAACGCGACTCTCTGAAAACTAGCCCTTGGACCGGCGGGGCAGCTCTGCATGCGTGCATGCGCTGCTGCTGTGAATAGCGCAGAACGTTGCCATGTCAAGGGGCAAACCGCCTCACTCACCTTGTATCTCACGGGAAGAGAAAAGTCCCCACTCCTGCGACGTTGAAGGGGGCCGTGGGGCACCAGCGAGGCCCCTTGCGACCCCTGGGCAAGTTGGTCAGTCCCCACTCGTCGAGGCAGTGGTTGCGGCAGCGAGGATCGGCGTGGTGGCATCCTAGCTGCCGTTACTTGACCGGCGATTTCACCGACGACGGCGGCGGCGTCACGAGTACTTCCTCGAGGAGCCGTGGGCTTGATGGACTTGTGCTGCTGGGGGGACACCGCCACCGCCGACGATGACGTTTCTACGGGGCTCAACTTGGGGAGCTTGAGAGGGGGGTTTGCTACGTCCGAACCTGGTGTCGTCATCGTACCTGAATTACGTAAGCCGTCGTTGGCGGGCGCTCTCACTGCTTGTGTGTGCGAATATCTTTTCGTCTCGTCCTCCGCCTGTACGTTGGAATATCACGGCGTCGGTATTGCCAAGTGAGCTCACGGGGGCAACGCTTTGTTCTACACTGAATCCAGGTACGAGACGCTTGCCATCATGTTAGTCGATGCATCATTTTTTTCAACGGAAATGCGCCTTTGCATGCACAGAGCATCATGCGCGAGCAGTCCGCCGACGGACCATATCCTGGGGCTCCGACGAATCAGTTGTTCAGTTCGTGCGGGGGGCACCCTCACCCTGCACAGTCCCGAGCTGGCACACTCGATGTCCTGAGCATTCAGTACTCAGTACCGGAACGGGGGTGCACCACACACTCGATGAGATTGCTAGGAATACGATGCCGGGAATGGGCTCGACGCTGCTTTTCCTCCTCGACAATGACCACCAATGGCCCACGTGAGTTTGGCTACATCAGTTTGGCTGCAGCAGTACATCGGCGAACACCCGCGCACGCCTTCTTTTGTATCTTCAAATGTTGTCCTGCGGCCTGCAGTAGACGTCTAAACTATTACGCCGCCTCTTGTACCGTGGCTTGGGCACGCGTGGAACACAGTAGTACGCTTGCATGTGTGCGTAGAGCAAGAGGTGAATGCGTAGCACCACAGTTCAGGCTGGAAACGGTGATAAACACTACATGCTGCAATTGGTCATGCTGCAATGTGGTAAGGATTGTGGTGATTCATCCACAACGGTCGACGCCCTTATAACGACAAGATCCCTCCGGAGTCGGCGGCTCATGAGAACACAACAGCAGTGTCGTCGTCATCAAGGGGCGATGCAACTTGGAAATAAAAGCAGGCAGCACGACCAACCCACGGTTGACTGCCAGCTGCGGTGTAACGTTTCCCAAGCTCAACAGCTTGCACTGCTGACGTGTTTCTCTCACGAATAACCCAGCGAACCCCAACGAACCTACAACAACAGTTAGGGCTATCAGACCAAGCACTGTATGTAGAAGGATGGCAGCATGTGGTGCAGGTGCCCGACGACCGGGGGAGGTCCGGCCAGCGTATTCATTGCATTTCGCCGTTTATCTGCATGCTCCCTCAGTGCTCTGTTCGCGGTCTGGTCGCCAGGAATACTGCTCGACGTTGGTTCATCGTTTACAGCAAGAAGCAAAACGTGCCATTGCAGCAAACGGGAGAGTCATGCATTCCCCGCCGTAATACATCTAGACTATCGTGTTCTGCTAACCTGGTCTCCATTAATCAAGAAAATTGTTGAACAGAACCGCCTCCTTGCCTATGTAAGGACCGGAAAAAAAACGAAGCAAACGAACCAGCCACCAGGCTGACGCCAATGCCGTGTCGCAACGAGACGTGCAGAGCATACAAGAGAACCTCTGTGTTGGATCACGGTGCACCACATTGCATCCTCTTCGCTTGGGCCTCCCAAGGGCTCTCTCTCCTGTCTGCGCAACTTTCTTGTATGAGACAAGCGGGACTACCTAGAATGTCAAATCTTAGACTGCCACTGTTGACCGAAAAGGCCCCCCTTTTGGTCGCACGCTCGTATGAAGTTTTTACCTACCGACTGCATCGACTACTTTGCTGAGCCACGTATCGACTGCGCAGCCCGCCGTGAGAGGCGCTTCTCAGAATACTGTACCGGGTTGACCGCCCGTTTACCCCCCCCCCCCCCGCGCTCCACACCTCCATTCTGCCTGGGTGACATCAGCCTTCAGCAGCAGCAGGGTCGACTAGCGTGCTTCGCCCTTACCAGTCCTCGGTGATAGACCGGGCCGTGGAGCTGTACGGACAAGGAACCCGGCGCCTGTTGGTTCCGCTGGCAACGGGCCTCGGCAAAACCGTGGTCTTCACGCACCTTCCCCAGGTATGTACAGACATTTTGTTTTTATCCCTCCTGTCACCATGCGTTGCTATAATAGTACGTCCCTCGGTGTTCCCTGAGGGGGCCCACAGCTGTTTGAACGAGGCCGAGCACTGGACGAAACGCAAGCTGTAGCAGCTGCTGTTCTCCATGTTCCTTTTCTTTGGAGGTTTTTCATTTTTTGGTGACTTAGGAGGGGTCGTCCCTTCCCAGTTTCTTGGCATATACCGGGATGATACGTATGTCCGGAGGTTAGCCGAAGGTGGACGTTGTTCCTGTCACTATTGCTTCACCTGCCGCAGCTCTTATATTTTTTGCTGCAACCGCCACAAAGCCCCGCTGCTTTGATGGCCACTGAGCCGCTTTGCAAAGCGATGTTACCACACTTTCCACGCGCCCTTTGGGCGATAGATCAAAACCAGAGATGAATATGCTAACGGCGAGGGTCGCGGGCGTTTTCGATGCTTGCGCCAGCAGGCGTTTCCGGAGCTGTGCCGGCGGGGAACGTTAGTGCTGGTGCATCGCGACGAGCTCGTGCAACAGGTGAGATACGCCACACCGCCCGTGCCTGACTCACGGTTCAAGCAGGCTCCCTCCGCACGGACACCCTTCCTTCCTCGGAGGTTGCGGGATTCACCGATGATGCGGGTGATGTCGGCAAGCGTTCGTGGAGTGGCCAAAACGATTTATTTCCAAGGATGTTACGCCATGTATTCGTGTGTGGCATTTTTTCAAGTTTGTTTCGTCGGTCCTTTTTTCTCACCAGGCAGTAGCATCCTTCGGAAAGTTCCTGCCCCATCTGTCGGTGGGGGTGGAAAAGGGGCCGGAGACCGCGCACGCTGGGTTAGACGTGGTGAGCTATTATTCATAGTGATGTGCAAAGCGACTGCGTTGGTGGTGTTTGGTGTGGCAGAGGGGGTCCAACGGCGTCCAACTACTTGGAGCAAATCAACTGGAAAACAATACCCTGAAATAGGTGTCAGCGTTGATTACAAACACACCCGTGCAGGTTTGATGCATAACTGTATCGAGAGGTTGCTAGGCACAACGAACGTTTCAAACCCAATTTCCTGGTAATACGGCACGAGGTCATTTTCTGTCTATTTATTTTTTTCGCTCAATTTTTGTTTGTTTTCTTCATAAGCAAAGTGGTCTCGCTCATGACAAAAGATATTTACTTGTTGCTTTTCCGGTGCGCGTTGCATAAACGTGAAACGGCGTCCTGCTGGCACCGGCATGTAATCATGTTGTTTGAAGGCGCGTCTCTACGACCTGGGTTCGCTTGCTCTGGGGTATTTCTTGGTTACTACATAACCTTTCGTGGCATAGTTCGCTTCGCATGTTGGCCTTGTTTTTTTCGGTTACCCTCATGCAGCGGGAGCGGTCTGTACAACTCGTGCATTGGATATTGTTGGTCGTCCCACGTAGAGTAATAACGTCTCATGGTTTGGTGGGCTCCATGTGTCAAACCTTGGTTCATGTTCGGTGATTTTGTATGCGTGCTTTCTTTTTTCACGGCAAGGTGGTCGCTTCGGTTCAGACCCTTGGGAGGCGCGGTTCGGGAGCGGCGAGACTTCAAAACTTCGCGGACTACGCGGGAGTAGTTGTCGTCGACGAGGTATGTGCTTTCGTCGCCGTCAAGTTAATGTTGTCACGATCATGTCACCGGTATCGTCCTTCACAGAGCCGTATGCTCTTTTGAGTCGGCAAGGCTACGGCAATCTTCAGCGATGACTATTGCGACGTGTTGGGGTCGTTAGGTATGACATGGTTTCAGATGTTTCACTGTAAATATGGGGTGTTTTGGCCGTGGAATGTGTTTTGATCGGTGGCTGTCGATATGAGCCGGATATTGTCGCAGTGAAAACGCGACCGGGTTAGTATGCATGGTCGTGACGGATACTTCTTTTCCTGTTGTATTTACTATGTCTCCATAACGAGGATCATTTAATGAAAGTGTTGGATTTGGGTGAGGCCTCCTGCGCCGGTAGGAGGTCTTCGTCTGGTATGTCCTTCCCCACGCGATGCGACTACGGGTGTCCTTCGCGCGGGGTAGCACCTACCAGTACGATTCAGGTATTGCAAAGACCTTTATAGACTTGACGGGTGGGTGGGATGGTCTCAACAATTCCCGACCCGACTCTGCTCTCGAGGTTTTCGGGAGCGAAAGGGAGTTGTGGTCTCTCTCTGTCACAAAACCCAGATGTTTCGATACCATCTGCGGTTCCGTGATTCGTTCCAAATCTGGATCCATTTGATCGGAACGGAATTTAACTGTTGTATTCTGTCTCCATACCGAGGATCATGTAATGAAAGTATTGGATTTGGGTGAGGCCTCCTGCGCCGGCCTGTGGTCCCGCCCACGTCGTTGCCTCCATTGACATTACCAGGACGTTTAGTTTTGACCACTACCAGGCCGTTGCAGACTCACTCAATCTTCTTAACACGCCGCTAATCTGGGGATCGGTGCAGGGCAGTAGTGACCTTCATTTGTGACCTGCGCACGCGGCGAAGCCCTGCTGGAACGCCGGAAACAGAGGCAGCTCGCTACCCTCTGCCTAACTCCTGCCTCTTTGTCTCTTGCTACCGCTTACCGGAGTGCTGGTGGTGGCACCAATATAGTATCTCGCCGCGGACTCCGTCTTCCAACCACCGGTCTTCATGATTTCGTCAACCGCCGTCCCGGCAAGGGACTGACTAAGGGAACCACCCACCCGAAACGAATGCATGGTGAAGTGGACCAGCAGGTTCGCCACCCGCACGCGCCCTTGCAAGGCCATCGTCATCCGGGCAGCCGTGAGAGGCAATCTGCCCCGCTGTCCCGCCGACGTTACTAACAAGTGTCCTATCATAAGGTCCCACTTCACGCATGGAGCAGCCTCTATGTACTCCGTGACGGCGCGGTATGCGCAAATCTCTGGGCAATCCGGGTCTGCTAGCACCACCACTGCCTCGATGCACGCAGCTGCTTGCCAAACTGAAAATTGAAAACCAAACCGCGCGACTTTTTTTTGTGGAGCTTGAGGATCTAGGACCCTAACGTAAACGATAAATCGAAGCCCCTGCGCATCGAAAAAAACGCCAGGGAAAACAGGCGACATCCCGCGTCAAGCCAATGCGCTCCGCAACCTGGGGCGCCACTTGCGCGCGAGACCACATGTCGCTGAGGAGGCCCACAAGCGTGTGCGCTAGCACAGGTGGAGTCTGGTGAACCGCCACTCCTACCTTCTTCTGTTCCTCGGATACGATAGTAAGGTACGAGTCCACCATAGGGCTACCACACGGGTTGCCTACTTGGCGGATGGGGTCCCAGTCCGCGCCTTCCCGTGCTCCTTCAACGCCATTTTAACTTGAAGACGAAGCCTGTGCGGAGCGAATCGGCCGCATAACGTCGAGCGCACGTTGACCCCGCGAGGCACCTGGCGGCCCTCGGGGAACCCACGCCCGGGCACGCCCTATCATGCACCATCTTCGTACCTTTTCCTTGTGTGTCCAGAAAACAAAGAAAATCGAAGACATTGTCCGGGGTCGCGGTCTGCCAGCCCCGGCAGCCCGCGGAGGCTACCAGCACAAACGCATCAAATTCATCGGCCACCCGGCTTTTCCGCACTTGCCCAGGGCGCCCTGCCATGGCGGCTAACGCTTGAGCGCGACTGGCCTGCACCTGAGCCACCACGAGGGCACTTGCTGCGGGTATCGCGGCGTCGGTAGGGCCCGATTGGAGGGGACCCCACACCGAGTATGCCACTGCTTCAATAGCCCATGAGGGCTGGGCCACTGGAAACAACCCCATTGAGCCCGCGAGGCCACCGTAACCGACCGGACCGCTGCAATTTGCACCAACGGAAACCAGTACGCCTTAAAATCGGGCAAGAGAAGCACCGCACGTGCCTTACACTCGGCCAAATGCTGCACTATTTGCCCGTTATTTCTGGGGGGGGCGAAACAAAAGCCAAAGGCCGCGCCGGTACCCCTCGGCATGACCGAAACATCCTGAGCTAACACATCAACACCAGCGGAGCCTGGGAAGTCATTTTGCGAGAAAATGGGGAGCGGCTCCTGAACACCCGGGGGCCGGAGAGCCGACGCGGTGCATGCCATGAGGTTGACCGTGAAGGGGTCCAATTTACTCCACACCAATTCGAAAGCTGCGGGGGAGATCCGAATCGTAGCCTCGCGTGACGGGCGCGAGATGGCATTCGCCACGCCATTCTCCTCCGTCGGAACCCATCGCAGCGAGGGCATGAAGTCATACTCAACCTGCAGCTCGAACAGCTGCACGAGCAAGGCATGCGCCTCGCGGTTCCGGGCGCGCCCGCGATTGAACGCGCTAACCACCGACTGGTTGTCCATATCGACGAGTACTTTCGCCCGCCTCAAGATGTCGGGGAACCGAGCACAAAACTGCTGTAGCAGGTAGTATAGCGCGTACATCTCCTTCTGGTTGATATGTTTGGAGAAACAGTCCTCCGGGAACACCCGCCCCGCGGAGAAGGCACCCGCCACCGTGCGGACTACTCCTTCCAACGCCACGGACAACGCGTCCGACGCCCCCGTTTTGAGGGCCGCGGTGAAGTGCCGCGCCCGCCGCCACGCTCCTGCGACGTAGCCGTGATGCTCAACCACTGCTTGAACTCGCCGACCAGGTCGGCGCTAGCGTCACACGAAAGGTCAATGGAGGCGATGCCCGACTTGTCCAAGTCCGCAAGGGCACGGAACATAGCATGCGTCCGCAACGACGCCGGCCGAACTGCCACCGTCATGCTCAGCATTTTCCGGCGATGCGCTGGAGTGCACGAAAAGACAGCCGTCCGTCATCCACCGTCGTACGTAGCAATAGCTGCAGTTTGTCCAACTTGTCCTGAGGCACTCGAAACGTGGCCGTGGAGGAGTCGCACATCATGCCGAGAAACTGCTGCAGTTGCTTCGGTCGCAGATTGCCCTTCTTAGCTGACAAGAATTGGCCGCAGAACAGGGAGACCAGCATCGCGATATGGGTAGCCCCCCCCCCCGCTGCAAGCCATTGCTCTCGCGCGGAGGCCCCCAGGGAAGTGAGAAAGTTGCGGATCCAGGAGCCATCGAGGTACGCCAGTGCCGGGGTGCCTTTGGAACCAAGAAAGGCCGACTTAGCCTCGCTGCGGATATGGCACACCCACGGGCTGAGACTGAACCCGAAGGGGAGGACACACAACACGTAGTCGACCCCTTCATAGCAGAAACCAAACAAAGGCCAAGAGGACGGCCCCAGCAGGATGTGATGAAACGCAGACCAGTCATCCAGCGACGTCATGTAACATCCTTGGGTCGCGACGTTCGCCACCCGAGCCACAGTGTCCTTCGAGAAAGGGAACCTCTTGACCCGCTTGTTGAGCCGCCGCCCATCGTGGACCATGTCCGGTTTTGTTTCTTCGACGGACAGTGCCATAATCAAACGCGGCCTCGACGGTCCATCGGGGCCGCGCATAGCAGCCCACTTCGCGACACGCCCTCGAACGCCGGCGGGATACGGTTCTTGAAGGCCGGCCCGGGGAATTGGTCCACCGCATGCGGACAAGTCGAGGACGGCCCGCGGTAGTCATCCAAAAGCAAATCGTAGAGGTCGACGCCATCCTTTAGGAACGACACCAGCTGATCACTGAACGGGAGTATCACCGGCTGGGAAGCGGCCAGCCCCCCACCCCACCGATGAGGCGCGGCCAAAGGAGCGAAGCCCGTGGGCGGGACGCGGGCCTGCTGGGACCCTCCCAGGGACGAACCCCAGCGGAACCCCGCGGTACACCCCCCCCGACCCTTTGCCGGCAGCGCGCGCGGACGAAGCCGACGCCCCGGAGGTCTCCAAACCGAGCGACGTTTGGATGGCGCGCCCACCCTTCAGGTCTCGTTCAATCTGGAACTTCGAGGCCCCCCGATAGTTCGGCAACTTTTCGGTGAAGACCGCCAAGGTCAGCTTCGGGCAGAGGTACCTGCGGAGGATAAAATGTCCACTCGGTGCCGTGTGCTCAAGGATCCGCTTCTCCTTCGACATGCCGAGATTATGTGCCAGCGACGCCGCCGTGAGCAGCGCGTATTCAAAATGATGCCAGTCCATAGTACCTTCCGAGTTTTGCCAGATCCTGGTCGGATCAACGATGTGCTGCTGGAACTGCCACCAACCGCAAGCGCAACAGAGGGAGGTACTATGGACTGGCATCATTTTGAATACGCGCTGCTCACGGCGGCGTCGCTGGCCCATGATCTCGGCTTGTCGAAGGAGAAGGGGATCCTCGAGCACACGGCACCGAGTGGACATTTTATCCTCCGCAGGTACCTCTGCCCGAAGCTGACCCTGGCGGTCTTCACCGAAAAGTTGCCGAACTGTCGTGTATGACGTGGTATTACAAGTAGATGCAGCATCCCGGCCCACTCACCCTGTTAGGCATCAAGATATAATGTGGGTTGCGGGAGGATGCGAAAAAAATTGATCATATCATCCGCATTTTCGACAAAGACACGATATCATGCGAAAAACGTCTGCCACGGTCAAGACTAGAGGTAGACACCGTTGACAAACTACATTGTTGGGAATCTTGCCGTCTACCATCGGAAGCCGTTGAAAAGAAAAAGCTGGAGGTTTTTCAAAGGCAGTTTTCGGTTCCGGTTTCGGTTTTACAGAAGAAAGAATTTTCGTTGCACCCTTGAAACCTTCCGCGAAACACCCATTCTTTCGCGTTCTTGGCACTGTAGCAGCCGTCTACCGTTGGAAAATATTCCACAGGCTATCGGGGCCTTTATGTGCTGGTGTTCGGTTTCGACTTCGGCAGAACCGGAGAGTAGATTTTCCGAGACTGGATTCGGTTTGACCAGAGACACAACAGAGGCGTGCGACGAGTTCCGACTACGGCTACGGCTCCATGGTTCGAGACGGGCTTATACCGTGAACCGCAACCTGTGCCACCAAGGAACAAGGCTCCTTAGCATCACCGCTGTTGTCATCGCTGTTCAATTCTACTTTTGAATCATGCACACACGAGTCGGCATCCTGAGTGCTCATGTGGCCCCTCTTCAGTCTTCCCCTCTTGCCCATTTATTGCTCGGTTTTGCTTGTCAGCTGCTTCCCCCGCATGACGCTCCACGCTACATGGCGCATGGGCGTTCGTTCACGCGGGGTGGCTTCAGCCCGGTAGCAGCCCCAACTGGTTCTTTTCACACGAGCGGCATACACACCATGCCCGTTGGTTTCTCTCTGACAGCTTCCGTGATCGTTTTTCTCGTTCTCTGGATCTCCTCTGTTTTCCTGCAAGAAAGGCGCATCACGTGAAGGCGGGAGGAATGTACGACGACGTGCTCAACGGGCTTGGCGTCGGCAGCGCGTGTAGGGGAGAGACCCGGGGCGGTCGCCTCCTGGCCGGCTTCACCGCCACACCGCGAAGGTTTTGGCGAAGTGATTTAATTGGTCGGAAGATACACAGCAGTAGTTTGATGCACTTTATGTGCTACGAAACGACAAAAACAATTGGCTTTCGAAGTACGTTTTCAGGGGTAGGTGGTGTTCCTCTTTCTGCCCCCAGACGCTTCTTGTTTTCGTTGAAGCTTGCCTTCATTCCCCAGACGCCGCGCACGAGCCACCGCCCCCATGTCCTTTCTATCTTCTGCCTCACCATAAACACGGAGAAGTCCACCATGTCTAGCAAGAGGTCCCACGGAGTGAACGGCCGTGCTCTCATCTCTCGAACTCGCCGTTGACCCTTTCGTTTTCTTCTCAAATATTTTCGTTGCCCTCGTGCCGTCGAAAAGAGCGGACGGGCTGTCCCTGCGGCCTTTCTTCGACCACAGTATCGGGGGTCTGGACCTCCACTGGGGCATCGCGAACGGATACCTCGTCGACATCCACGCCTTTGCCGTCAGAACCACCACCGACATCGCCGCGCTGCCTACTCGCATGCAGGTATCGAGGCGGCATTCGTGTTTTTTGCTGTCCGTATAGTTGGTTTGTGGTGGTTGTGGTGTTCTTGTAGGTGATTTCGGCAAAAATCGTTCGGCGAAACGCGTAGGCACAGGTGCATGTCTTGAATATTGTCATTCATTCGGTGTCTAATACGCCTTCTCCGGGTGGTCGTGTCTACCGTGTGTACCTGTTGGCGGGCGTGGGTTTAGCCGAATCTTTGTTTGGGGGGCTGGGTGTTAGGGCATGTGCTCTCGACGCGCGAAACAAACTGAAGTTGTTCTCCTTTGGGTGTCCTCGTGTTGAAACGCAATCCACCGTTTCCGCTACTTCCTTCCGGTCCATTCCTTCCTTCGCCGAAGAAAGACCTGTCGACAATTCGCCGTCACAGCGACACTGAGTGAAAATCATTGTTGCTGGGCGTTCTGGTATCCGTTTTTTCAGGACTTTTCCGCCGGCGCGCTGTCTACTGCGGTGAACAACGACGTCCGCAATGAGGCCGCCGCGCGCGCGATGCTGGAGTTCGGTGCGGGGGAACCCTCATCTTCGGGGAAGAAAAAATCCCCGAGGTGACAGCCCGGTGAAGTGGAAGTCGTGCACGAAGCGTTATTCTACTTTACGGCACAAGTTCTTGCCTTGCCTCCCTTGTTTGTTTTCAACGACAATTCATTTTTCTTCCGGCAGGGGAATCGCTTTCTGCGCGGACGTCCGTCACGCGCACGACCTCGCCCGCGTCCTGAACGAGCACAATATTTCGGCGATGGCGGTCGACGGGGGCATGAACAAAAAGGTGGGGACGAGACTACATGTATGGATAATGTGCACCGTTGAGGAACGGACAGTGCGCCATGGGTAGTGCGGAGGTGGTGAACAAACATGGCGGGAACGTTTAATAGTACGACAGAGCAAGGGGGACGTAGCATGCCGCGGTGCATGGGGATGGACGATAAACATTGTGGGAGATCGACCGAAAATGGACAGGAAAAAGATAACCACCACGCTGTGTTGGCGTACCAACGAATGACCAGCATCGATGGATGGGTTAGATATATCGTGCGGTAATTGGATCGGCCGTGTTTGTGAACCAGTTATCCATTGGAGGCATGGGCAAACAGGACAGGACAGGACAGATACGAAGGGCACCAAGGATAAGGACATAAAAATCATCGTAGTTGAAGTTGCTTGTACACATCAACGTGCAACCTAAGTAAGCTACGCGTTGCTGCTACTTTTTTTTGCTCTTATGGAGGTGCGTTTATACGGTGATTCCATCTCGGATTCTTAGTTGCTCTCACACCAGTCCTTATCCCGATCACTGCGCTTGGCTCGAGCACTCACAAGAATAATACGTTTTTTTAGCCCGCCGTTCGCTCCAGCCTGAACCCACCTCGGTTGTGCTTCACTAGGCCACAAGAGGCTGCGCCGAATCTTGTTCCTCCGGTTGTTTACCCGTATCGCTGTGTCTCTGAGGCAGGATAGAGGTCGGGCGTTAGCGGCCTTCCGGTCCGGGGAGGTTTCCACTCTCACCAACTGCGGCGTCCTCACGGAGGGTTTTGACGCGCCCTATTGTGACACGATTGTCATGTGAGTGAGGTTAGGAATGAAGAGTAGAAGAAATGAAACCGCCGCGATACTTTGCCGACGTTAGTCTCGGTATGGCCGAGGGCACTTGCTCCACGCCAGTAAGAGTCAAGCACCGTTGTGATATTCGAATTATGTATCTCCTCTCTGCTTTCACTTCCTTGGCCAACACCCCCCCATCCCTGCAACCACTACCCCCTACCTGCAATGCCGTTTTCCGGGTCCAACATTCATATATGCATAGTTCATGCATGTTAATCGTCTGGGGAAATGCGGCCTGCTACAACCAGCCCAACACTCTCTTTGGCCAAATTCTATTGCCCCCACGATAGCCGTCGGTCGCCTGCACGTTATTTTTGTTTGTCGCAGGCACGGAACGGCTCGACACGCTGTAAAGGCTCCGAAAGGACTATTGTTTACCCTCGATATTTCCGACCCACGTGCTGCGCTACAAATAGAAGTGAATATCCTCTGTAGATTATGCGATGCTTGAACAGGGGGTAGGTGCGTATTTGAGGGGGGGGAAACTTGCTGTGCTGCCCCCTTCCCCTGATGTTTGGAGTGAATATCTAGGGACTTGGGATTAGGTTGAGGTGGGACAATATGTAATCCCCATCTTGAACACCGGAGACAACAGCCTGAGCGATCGAAACGTGCCAGAGTGCTGAATCACAACCCAAGAAAATACTTGTTCTACGAACACGACATCCCACGCAAACTTCGTTTCTGGAAATCCCTTGCATTGTTCAGGTGCCGCCCGACCCAGTCGGCCCCTCTCTACATGCAGATGATTGGCCGCGGCACTCGCCCGTGGTTGTCACCAACGCCCCAAGGTGCGGAGACCCCACGAATCACGGATATTTCCAGCAACAATGCACACGACGTACCAGTGTTTTCATTGGTCCGCCGGGTAGCGCCCTAGGTGCTAAAGAAGTACACACAACACACAGACCTCTTTTGTCCTGAGTAACAACTGTTCGATTACAAGCGGAAATATCTCCACTCAGCGGGTGTTCACTTGTCGGGATAAGCTATCGTCGCGCGCGCTCTTGGCTGAGAACAATCTGTGACTCAAACTACTGGAGCACGATCCGGGGGGGCGTGTGTGTATTGAAACGGCACCAGTTGGGTAGGACAGCCTTGGGGGCGATAGCTCGGTTAGCAATACTCGGTTTTCATACAGAACGCGCCACAACTAAATAATGAGCCTCTTGTTTTTGCCGAGGCTGTTCTCTTTCGTCTATGGCCCCACCGCGACTATTTAGGATTAGTGTAAGCTTTTGGTCGAATCCTGGTGGAACCAATCTTCTGCAGCCCCTCGTCTCGTGCCTGGCGGTCTTCTCTGCCCCCCGTCTTTTTTTCATGGTTCGAGGCAATGCGGCTACTAGCTTCGAGCAGGAGGAGCGGAAGTAGAACCGATTTAAACCAATTCCCCATCTGTGACACATGGTTCTTTTCACCTCAAGTGTCACTCGGGGTTGAGATCTGTGGGTATTTATTGGGACGGGGGTGGTGTGCCGCGGGCGATGAGATGCGAACCTTGTCAGCGAATCCTGTGTAGTGCCACTCGGGATGGAGCAAAATGCAGCTCCTATGTTTCTAATTAGGGCCGGGCGCTTGGGGCGTTCATGAACGCAGAGAAGAAATGATGCCAGAAGAAACGAAGCTCTCACTCTTTGTACGAACAAGAAATACGCTTGATCATCAAGATGGCACCGTGCGAGAGCTATCACCCCCTCGCTTCAAGATATACACCAGCGCACAGCAGCCGCCACCGCAAGCAGTTGGCGATAGTTCCAAACTCGGCTAAAGCGAGTCCATAGCGGCAGCTGCGGTAACTTGGACAAGGTCGCGGTTGCCTTGAGAGTCCCCCAAGGGTTAGCGTTTGACACATTTTCATCGCGGGAAACCATAGATTAGTCACGGAATGGGCTCCGTCTTGAAAAGGGGCCCGTCGTCAGCGGTCTCCTGACTCAACGCGCATGCGCCCCACCCTCTCTCCCACCTCCGGCACGGACAACAGTGAGGCCTGGTGAGTGGCCTCAATACCTACGGCCTCCTAGGAATGGGAAACGAGTAAGCGAAGTCGCGCGACAACGAATGCGTGTAGAACATATATATATTTTGTGGCATGTTAATGAGTACGAGCTCCCTCGTTTCCTCACACCGTCAATTCCAGCGAACAATGCGGATGCGGGTGCTGATTCGACGGCCTCGAGGCGACGGAGTGACATTGCGGCATCACCAAAGCCGCGTATGCATGTGATCGACCTGGTCGATAACTGCGGGAAGCACAAGGCGAGAACGTCGAATTTTTCCAAACGGGTCCAGCACCTGTTTGATTACAGCATTGCCGCAGTTTGTGTTTTGTGGTGTGCACCAAATCGTGCACTCGACACTCGTCCGGCTAGATGTTGGGCGGTTCCCTGTTCTAAACCAGAAAAACGCACGATTCTACCAAGTGAGGGAACAATAAGGCAGCAGCAGCAACAGCAGCAGGTGTTGCTTTGGTGTGCCGTCCCGAACAAGGCAGCGCTCTATCCGGTACATCCCTGCACAATACCGTAGTATGCAAACAGTGCGGTAGGTGCAACACACCTACGAGGGCTATATCGGCACTACCGGTGGCAAGAGGTTAGGCATGATGCTCAACACCCTCAAGGATGCTTGTTTGTTTTTTCACCCTTGTTAGTACATCGCTCGCTTCTTTCCTTACCCACCTCGTGGTACTACACGAATGTCACCTACAATACCAAAGTTAGACGGCAGTCAAGTAAATTTCCAGGGGAAGGCCGACAAACATCTCGCAGTCGCAACGAGCATATCTAGACTTTTGGTTTGCTGCTAGAGCGAGGGTTGTAGACGCATCATCACACAACACAAACGCTAAGTTCACGAGAAAAATACTCGAATGTCCACCACGATTGGACCAAGAGAGGTACAAGAGGGATTTTTTTGTGGAAACAAGTATCTGCAGTGGGCTCGTGCGTTGTTACCATCGGCTCGTCTATATCACACAGCAGCAGTGCTGAGTTGGGTGGCGCCAGGGTGATTTACAGAGAAGGGGGGTGTTATTCGTCATCATGTGCTAGAGAGAGGGGGGGGTGTTATCATGAGCTATGTACATTTAAACATTTGCATAGCAGCGCAAAAAAAACTCTCTCTGTTGTTCCTCTCTCTGGTTCGAGCTTTGATCTACAGACAACTCCAAAGCGTGTGGTTTGTGACCAGACTATTAGCACACGGAAGGCACAGGTGGCACCGTAGGCCCTCGCACACAAGTATAGGAGGTTTACAGCAGTACATGCATCATCAATGGTGGTGTCTAGCAGCGTGTTGGTGCGCCTCTTGTCCTCTCTCTCGCTGATGACAAAAACGCTGCCGCTCGCAAAACGCACAACACAACGCTTCTGCTTCTCTTTCTCGCTTCCTCCGCCGATAGCTAACAGCAGTGTTGTAAAGGACACCAGCCTCCCGCCTCGCTCTCCCGGTTGTGTGTGTGTGTGTCTCCCGCCCCCCTTGTCCATGTTCCCTGTCTCTGTGTAGTGTGTTGCCACAGCAGCAGCAGCTAGAGCTGCCGAGCACACCGACCGGCGGAACCAAAACCGTGAATCCTAGATTTATTTCAGCACAGATGCTGTGCTATCTCGACGCACTGACCACGGATTGAAAAGGTAGCAGTTGGGACAGCTCGGGCAAAATGCTACTTGTTGTGCACAAGTCTTAGATTGCAATTTGGTGCCTAGATGGTGAAATGGGCTTCAATCTCCTGTGTGTTTATGGGCGCACAGACAGACATCGCTGAGAAATGTCCCCCTCAGGTGCAATTTGTTTTTTCGCGTACGTACATATACATCGCGATCCCTCTCAACAGCTTTTTTCTTGCTACAGTAAAGCAAAAATGCCCCCCTATCGGCGCGCTCAAAAAGGTTAGTAAATGTGAACCCGTTTTTGCGTGCATGATAATCTGGGCTGGCGTAACGGCATCCTAACGCCGGCATCCAGGTGATGAGCATGTCGGCTGCCCTAGGGCTGTCCTCCGGGTTTCGCGGCGACGATGCTGGTACGGACGGAATGGGTGGGGCGTTCTCCGTGGAGGTGAGGAATAGCCGGTGCAGACCCCGCCGTCGATTGGCTGTTTCGACGTGAAGCTGTTGTTTGATGGAGAAACTTGTAGCGACGCGAAGTGATGGTGCGGTATATATTTCCATGGGATATGGTACCGTGGGATGGCGTTCTTTCGGTATGTTCTACGGTATGGGTTCATCCGGGATAAGCGCGGCACCCCTGTTGTACGTGGCGTCGCCGCCCGTAAGGGGCGGCTGAGTGTGGTGAGAGGAGAGAATACAAGGAATCTTCTCCTTGGCGCGTGCACGATGAGTTTGCCCTTTCCCGCTCCATGACAAGTTTTACCCTATCAAGCTACCCCCATGTCGGATCGTCTCAAGAGGCTAGCGTGCTTGGCAACTCAGGTGGGCGCAGCTCGAAAGCAGCTTGTCCAAGCCTGGCCGAGATGGAAAATTCTTGTTTGGTTTGGCAGCCAAGTGGATGGGAATTGCTGCTACACCACACCAACCGAGAGCGCATCATGACCATACTCATCTGTCACGACCTTCTGACCGCGAAATGAATCCCCATCAGCCAAGATATTCCGTGGAAGGCGACTAGACACCTCCTGTGTTCACGCAGTCTACCGACTGCAATCTCCATACGCGTGTGCTCAGAATATACCTCCGTCATACATGCCACGAGTATGCCTACCGTCGTCCTTTGACGCATCGTACTGATATGGCCAGTCGGTTTGAACTCACCATGCAAAATATCAAGTTGTTGTAAGAAAACCCAAAACCAAACGCTCGAATGAAGCAGACACACCGGAATCACTATGTCTTATCCGAAAAACGTTGTTCTAGCCCATCACTCTCTCGCTTGGCACTTACTACACCGTTCGTATTCGCTCGCTTCTGCTTCGTCTCGTTCTCTCTCTGCGCACGCGTTCAGAATCACGCTCTCATTTAGCATCCGTTTTTCACTCGGGATCCCGCCGTGGGATGCTTTTTATATCGAACATGTGGAGAAACGCCGCCCGAACACAGCAGTGTTGGTTTGCTTCGTTGCCAGACTGCGTTGTGTGCTTGGTCTTCATGCTTGCGGCGTACGTCTTGCCAGGGCAACAGGCAGCAGAACTACCCCGCACGCTTGGAGCCCACGGGAAGGCACAAACGCTCGTGACTCTCTCTCACGGCACTATGTACACCCCCTTTCACGCTCACCCGCTCCTTCCACCCCCGCCCGCCACTTGCACATACGCATTTAGAATCACGCCCTCGACACAATCAGTCGTCAACTCGCAAACATGCTCTTCTTCATATCGGACACGGGGGAAAGCGCCCGAACGAAAGTACTCGTTAGCTTCGGTGCCAGATTTTCCTGAGTAGAAAGGTGTTGTGAGAGAAGACTTAGAAGGCGATGTTAACGATGTGTTGTTGTCGCTCGGCAATGGCGTTCACCTTGTGTTTATATCTCTACGGCCGCAAACCTCCGTATTGAGTACTCGATCCAACAGGCCAATGTTTCATAGCACCCCCCCAAAGTGTCACCCCCCTATTTCCATCTCTTAGTCTCGAAGCGTCGTGCCGTGTGTTCTATTGTCTGTAGCATGTCGGGTCCCTCGCGGCAGAAGCCATGTCTTTGGTCGATGCTGACGGCGCTGCCGAGGTGGAAAATGCTTGTTCTCATCCCCTGCTGGAAGCCAAAACCCCTCGGGAGCTTGCGCTGCTTGTGAAGCACTACCGCCTCCTGCAGGTGAGATAGGGGGTTGGTGGCCGTAACAGTGGAATAGCATTGCCTGTGCCTTCTGCGTTGTAGGCCGGGTTTTACGGAGATGTTTGTCTTGCGTTTTGCTTGTCTCAGGGGTGAAGATATGGGGGGATACTCACATGATCTCCTTTGGGGGGGTGATGCTCAGGAACAGGGGGTTAGACCGCATAACTCACGTACCGAAGCGCGTGCGATGCGTTGTCGGAAAAAGTACAATGGTATTTCGAAGCTTGGAGAGTCAGAAGCCACCTGGAGCTTCGTATGCCAATGCTTTGGAGACACAGCGCCAAGTGGTACATTGGGGGTCAAGACCGGCGTGAATCATATGTTTTACAAGGTTCGAACAGTGGTTTGTGACGCACTGATGAACCATGTGTCTCAAAGACTTGGCAAGCTGAGTTACCGCCACAAATCCGCCGTTTCTCATCCCCTCCCCGCCGCCTGGACCACTTGAGGGAGCAAAAACAGCGGAGACTACGCTGACGGTGACAGGAAGAGGGGCCAACGATGGAACTTCTTCTCCCGGTTGGGACTTGTCCCAGCTTTGCGTTGGAGATCGAATCGGGAAGGACTCGTTCTTGAGGGTGAGTTGGCGGTTGTTGCTGAAGCTGCTGTTGTTGGGACAATTGTGGATATCTCGTTGGTCTTCGGTTGCTATTGTTGTCACGATGATGGTGCTCTTGGATTTGCTGTTACCAATCAGTGTCGTGGTCATTGGCGCAAATAGTCCACCTTGCCAGCAAGAGTAACACCGGGTCTTCGTTTTTGGAAAATTACACATCCCCTCCCTCCAATGTAAACGATGTCCACTGTTGTTTCGTTATGGACACTTGCGCGTTCGGCTTGACGGTGGGGAGCTTTGCCTTCACTGAGATGCCCTCCTCGCAAATTCTCAATTATCTGAAGAGTTGAAGGCTACCACCGACTCCAAACGCCCCGCGCCTATTCCCCCTTCCGAGCCAAGGTTATCGTAGAGGCCATCTTGTTGGGGTACGAAGAAGGCCAAGACGATGACGAAAGCGAAGATTTCGACGATGAGGATGTCGACTACGACGACACTGATCACGATTGTGGCGACTACGACGACGAAGACGGTTGCGAAAGAAGCTTCAGCAAGCCGCATCCAAAAACGAAACGACGACGCTTTCCTCGTGCCCCCATCCGAACCCGTCCGTGGCGCAAGAAGAAACCCTTTGCCGCCGGTTCCGCGACCGTGCGCATGCGCCACCCATCGTCGGGCACCATTTTTTCGTGGAGAACGTCCGGGGTTAAGGATACGAGCGGCGCGGAACTGCATGAGGGGGCGTCGTACCGGTTGGTGGCCACGGTAACAGAGGCGTTGGCAGCAGGCGGGGCGGAAGAAGCGGGAGAGGTCGGGTTAACGAGATGTCGGCTCACACTTGTGACGGCCGATGCGTCTGGCGGCCGCCGGTAGGTTAGGGTTTGCCAAAAAATGGAAGGTCGTGCGAGCTGAGAGTTGATTGGATGGACTGCAAGCGTGTGGAGTGTGCGACAGCGAGGATTCGGGCGGGTAAGATACGATAGCAACTTCATCGGTCTTCGCTGCAATCCATGGATTGGGGTAGTAGCAAGATGTGTTTTCTCGCTGTCGCAAGCTGCCGAGGGCGGACGGTGAAAAGATTAATTGAACACCTGCGCACGGTCGTCCAGTCTGCACGTTTTCTGCTCCAACGAGGCGGATGGTAGTACTCCCTACAAGGGGTTAGAGCAAGGGGTAATGTCGACCAGTGCTTCAGCTACAGTTTCTGCTCTGGCCGTTGTGTTCTTTGCGGGAGTAGTTGCACAAGCACCCAATTTTCTCCACGCAGTGTACACAGCCTCCCACGCGGGCCAACACATAAGGTTGGATATGTGGCCTGTATCCCTCCCTCCTCAGCACATGGCAAGAGGACGATGGCAACGACTTTTCTGAACAGATTATAGTCTATGCCATCAATATCGATACTAGAAATGGACGTCCAGGCTGGACATGCGCTGCTTGGCGGCGGAAACGACCTATGAGCACCTACACTTCACACGCACGCGCAGAAAAAAACAAAAAACACAGGACTCTGTCAGGACGCTCCCCGTTGGAGTGAATACATTTCGATGCCCATGACCAACACTACTAGGACACCAGAACTTTCACAACTGTGTAGCACGGGAGGTGGGACCCCAATAAATCAAACACTGCTACTGCAAGAGAGACAAGCATCGCTTTTCTCAGGAACCTGTGTTTGTTTTTTAATGTTGGTCAATATGGGGTGTAATATACAGCTGTTGATGGCACGCAGCCATACATTTCAGCTCGCCATGATGGGTCAACTTAGGACGCGGGTCAAACAGGCAACGTAAGACCATCGCTCAAGCATCATACACGCGTAAAGTGCGGAACGAGTTGCTCAGCGATCTCGGAAAGAGTTCCGATCAGCCGTTACACCCGAAATACACGCCTGAGAATATGTGGAACACCCGCAGCTGCAGACCCTTGGAGCAAAAAAAGTGGGTTGGGACGTTGGGACACATTCACCTCTCGGCAGCGCCGGTTCCGCGGTACAATTGACCAATATCTCTAGATACCCTCGCGGAGTAATAGGGAATAAGTGCTGGTTATTTCTCACGAACACACCTTCTCACCACCCTCTCCTCCCCGGGAACGGTTTTGCGAATTTTGTGTCGGACAGCAGCACAGCAAACGCAGCACAGCAGCATCAGCACAGTCGGCGGGACAACACCCGCAAGCGTACAGCAGTTACCAAACCACGGTTGCCATGGCGGAGAGTACTACCTCCCGGGAACCGGTGATAACCGGCAATTTTCCTCAGGTAGGTGCCTCATCAACTGCGAGCCTTTATCGGTTCAACCCCACAAGTACAAGTAGACTAGTAGACTCGCAAGCGGGTTGCGGCGGGATTCGGTTGTTTGTGTTTTTGACGTCATGATGACGACACGTCACCACCCCTGTGAGGGTCGAAATCACGGACAACGGTATTCCGGGAACGTTTGGGTGCAGAAAAAAAAGCTACACGGAAAAATTGACTCAGGGATTTAAGCCCGAATCCCAGCGCTGATTGGCCAAGATCACCCCTCGATTTTGTTTTCTGGCGGCTCAAGCGGAGAGTTCGGCGACCAGGCTTCCCGAGTTGGTTTTCACCGTCTTCTGTCGCCCCGGTTGCAATTCTGACTCTCTCACTCGGCGTGATGCGACTGTCGGGTCCCTCGACGATCATATGCAGGATGACATCAACCACTCGCATCGAAGTCCACCATGACAGGCGATCCAACTCAATCATCACGTGTGTGTGCCAAGCGCCAAGATCCTAAACGCCCACAACTCTTGCAACACACTGAGGCCTCTTGACTTGTTTCTCTTCGGCGTTCCGACTATCTCCCCCATGCTTGCAACGCAAAAAACCCGAAAAAAACACCCCGCCATCGCCGCCATCGCCGCCGCCGCACGCTCGCCGTGTTCCGGCATCGGCTGTAGTGTGCATCAACGAATCAATTCTCCCTCTCTCGTATAATCATACACACACACACCGGGAAGTACAGTCGATGCAATGCATACAGCAGTATAGAAAACACAACCTCGATGGACCGAGACGGAAATACCACAGCAGCAGTACGTAGGCCCAAATAGTTATCGGGGCATTGAAACTGAACCAGGTGTATCGGCAGAGAGTAGAGCTGTGCGTAGTGTATGCCAACTCCGGTGGTCACTGCTGTATACGTGGTGCTGCTGGCTGGCGGTGTCATCCTCGAATAACGCTAGGTGCTGAGACGACCCTTGATTGGGATGACGTCTGGCCCTGCATTTCGTTGCGACGGTACACGCTGACCGGGGTAGGCACAAAACTGTGAAAGCTGGCTCGGGAAGACTTCGCGGTACTCTCCGCTTGAGCCGCCAGATCACGCTCGGTGGCCTTTGCCAAACATCGTAGGGTCTTGGGGGTTATTTCCTGAGTCAACTCCTTTCGTACGGTCTGGTGCCACCGAATCATCCCGGCATACAGCACCGTTTTCTGTTGATGACCGCAACCTTTAGACACCAACGGCGGCGGCTCTGGTGCCACTGTGCAATAGTTATGAATGGTGAACGCAGATCAAGTGTGCAGCTGGGACGCGCCCATGTACGCCTTTTGGTTTCGATACGATGTCATCTGAAGTTGTTTTTTCGCCCCACCGCTTCGTTTCGCTTCTTATTTCCTGAGTCAACTCCTTTCGTACGGTCTGGTGCCACCGAATCATCCCGGCATACAGCACCGTTTTCTGTTGATGACCGCAACCTTTAGACACCAACGGCGGCGGCTCTGGTGCCACTGTGCAATAGTTATGAATGGTGAACGCAGATCAAGTGTGCAGCTGGGACGCGCCCATGTACGCCTTTTGGTTTCGATACGATGTCATCTGAAGTTGATTTTTCGCCCCATCGCTTCGTTTCGCTTCGTTGTTGGCCATGTCGTGGCGAAAAATGGGTGTAACGTTGTTGGAAACAGGGCGATGAGTACATGGTCAACACCCGTGAGGAGATATTGCACCTTCGCACGTACGTGCCGGCGGACGGGGAAGAGATCAAGGCCCTACTTTTCTTCATCCCCGGGTACGATAAGTGCGAAGGACGGATTGTCGGCGATTGTTGCGTTGACCGTCTACTTGGTGTGGGCCGCAATATATTGCTCACGCACCCATCTAGGAGATTGGGGCGACGGGCGTGCTTGCCTTCCCGTGGAGCTGCAATGTGTTGTCTTCTCTGTCATTTGTTTTTACAAATGATGGGGGCAACAGCACTGTGGGTACGAGCGAGGGTACACGATGGACGGTTGCGAAGTTTCCTGTAGCGGCTGAGGCGCATGTGCTATGCCTGATACAACTATCTCACCGCTGTCCCACCGCCAACGGCAGCACAGGTACGGTGGCCACGTCAACTCCTCCCATAAGGTGAAGCTGGGAAAGGCAATGATTCCCCTGGGGATAGCCAACGTGCAACTCGACCTGCCCGGACACGGGTACTCGGAGGGCGAGCGCGCCTATGCCACTCACTACTCGCATTGGGTGGACGATATTTTCCAGGTACCATTGACCCTTTCCTCGAACTCGTTCCCGTCGCTCGCAGTGGCTGATACTCCTCACTACCCTGTGTTGTCATGTGGCACTCTGAGATCGCTTATCGTTTGACGCGTTTTCGATTTGCGTTCGCGGAAGTGAAAACCGAACAAAATGGGAGCTGGCATTATCAACAAATTTCTTTGCTGCATGTTGCGGTGTGAGAACGGCGTACTCAGAGCCAGAACCGCAGAACATAGCGCACCGCGCCTATCATATGCACCCGGGGTGGTCGCTGACCCACGCCTACCTTGAGCGCAATTGTCAGTACTGTATTAGTCTGAGCCCCACATTCCTGGGCCCCCTCGCTGTCGCGGCCTCTCTGCCCACCATTCCGCTGTCACTGATACCAAGAGAGTGGTTCCGACCTTAGATCCTGACATACTGTTGGCGGTTGCGACGTTCGCGTGCTTAACTCCCGCCATCATCACACCGCTCATGTCTGCGACGGCCAAGACATGACCTCGCAGTACACTCTGTCGCTGTTCACACTCGCCCTGCCCCCGTTTAGATCTCTCGTCCAACTCTCTAACAAAGCAGGCGTCCTAGGTGTGCGAAGCAAACCCGTATTCCGCCCGAATACAGATTCCTGGTGCCTTAAACAACATTTATGCGAAAGAGTTATGGCCGTTGACACTGCCCCGGCCATTGGAGTACGACTTACATTGCTCCGTCTCGATTGATTTGGTACCCGTTTGGAAATATGCAATGGGCGAGCCGACATGACTGCGCCCCCCTAATTCCTCCGTTAGTGTCCTTCCTACCACGGGCACCCACGCTTACGCACGTGACCTCGTCCCCACACTGCTGCTTGGACGCAACGGCCGTTTACAGCTGCTTGAGGCGATTGCGGGAGGCGGCTTTACGTCTCCCGCGGCAGGAAAGTTCTCCCTTTCCAAGGGACAGCTCGAGCAACTCAAGACTGTGAGAATTGCGGGTTTGTTTGCATCGTTGTTTCGGGCACGTGCAAGCGATATAATGTCTTTGCTGTGGCATTAGGCATTTTGAAGGTTGAGAGGCTCTTCAACCGTTCTTGCTCTCCACTTATTGTTCTATACCACGCCGTTGTGCCCGCTGGCTTGTTTTGGGCGTTTCCATTGGTGCGGTATTGTTGGGCAGTTTGTTTCACATGTTTCGGAGGAGAAATAAGGGGGAAAGGGAAAATGCGACAGCTGTTCTGTGGGCAAGACCGCATTCGCTTGAGACTTTCCAGACAGCCGAGACACCCGGATCCGCAAGGCGGACCAGGGCTAGCCGGGGCTAGGCTCGGGGTTTATTACTGACACCCCGTCCACCTCGCAATGTACTTGGGAGTGTCTTGGTGAAGGTTGGGTGAGGGCAGTTGGATTCTGCTTCTGATCCCTAACATCGCGCCGATGTCGTAATATCAAGAGGCTGGTTCGACCCCCTATTCCGCCTGCCCAAGCGATAAAATGGGGTTGTGGTCTTCAGGGAAAAATCTAGATACCACAGATAATATCGGATACAAACTAGCACAGATAAAAGTGAAAATTCGGATGAAAAATGCGACGGAGAAGATAAACGGCACCCGTGTTGCACGGTGAAAAACAGGAAGGTCAAGGAAACGGTTGACTACGTGACCCCTTCTATCCCACCCGTCTGTGTTGAACTCTGCGAAGGTGCCGATATTCTTGTCGGGAGAGTCGCTCGGGGGTGGGCTTTCCTTGTTCACGGGCTTGACGCTTTACGACAGACAGGTGGGATGGGAAAGCTCTGGTGGACGAACGTTCGTGCGATTTGTCTTGACCGCCTGCAATGTTTCGCATGTGCAGTCTGCGTTCACGTATTTGTTTCTCTCTTACCCGCGTGCCTAACTTGGCGTTATTGCTCAAGCAAAATCTCGACTTCATTCCTGCTGTGTATTTAGGGACTTGATGGAAGATGCTTCACTAGGGATGTATCCAACTCAATGTAAGCGCATGGCACTGTCGATAGGGTGAGGCGATCATCGCACGCACTTCGTAATGCTTTTTGGATCCCCGCACAGGAGTCGGCATGGATGGATGCGAGGTCGGTGGTCGAATTCACACGGCGCGGATGATCATCGATGCACGCCCTCCACCCGGTCCCACCCTTGCGTCCCGTTTGCTTAATGTTTTATCTGTCGGTATGTGCCACCGTTAGCACGCCTTGTTGCCGCGATTCAAGGGAGTCTGCCTGATGGCTCCGGCAATCCAGGGTAACCCCCCCCCTGCCCCAGTGGTAGCGTTTCTGCGATACGTCGTGGCCCCTGTCATCCCCAAGTGGCAGATACCCAACGCGCTTGAGTCAGGTGCGAGATCGCATAGAATGGCTGTCTCCTCATTTACCTGGTGGTGTTGGTAGCGGTGGGGGCGATGACACCTGTTAATGTTGCTATTAGGCTTTAGTTTAACCTGATTTCGTTGCTTTCCAACATTGAGAAGAGTGGGAAGCGTTACCGTTGCTGTAGCTGCTGATTTATCCTTGACTGACGCAACCCGGAACCAAGGCGTCCGTTCATCAGATGTTTGATTGCCCCTATCTACCCTTACTTTCCTCCGCAGCTTTGCTGTGATTCTTTTCTTCTCACGGTACGCTGCGGCTATATTTCTGGAACCCCCTCCGCCTCCGGATACTTCTGCCTGGTTGGGTTCATATGTCAAACGGTTCCGCTCCATCTTTATGGGGATGGGAGAGTGTGGATACACAGGAAATGTCCGTGAGTGAAAAAACTCATGACTGCAACTTCATCATCCACTTCATGTTTGACTCTCCGAATTTCTTCCGATGCAGTAAAAAACCCCACCCAAGTTTGGAAAACCGAAGAAGACCGAGCAAAGGCGGACCGAGATCAGTGGGGAAACCCGGGTGAGCGAAATAGAGCCAATAAGATGTCGGAAGACCTGGCGGCGGTAGGTTCAGTTTTCGATCTTGCCGTGACTGGCAGCTGACAGCAAGCATCATGTTTGTATATTGAACTCGGGCGAGAGAGAACGTGGCCCTTGCGATTGTGGTTTGAATGCTGTTCCTTATCTTGCTTGCCGCCGGTTTTGAAGGCCACCAGTCGGAAACAGTCGAGGAAAAGCTGCTAGACTCACACCAGCACGACCGAATGAAAACCCGCATTTGGCCTGGGTTTGTTACCGCGGATCTCGACCCCTGTTTTTTTTTTTTTCGACTCTCTTGTTGTTTTTCGTGTCTGTCGGCGCTCTTTTAGCATGCTGGTATAACGCTGGCTGACCACACGCGTAGATAATGCTTTACAAAATGCCCCCCCGCTGATCTCCCCCATGCCAATCGTACTGTGTAGGAGCGCTCGGGTGGGGGCACAACATGAAGTTCAACATGGGGCTCAACATGATGGACATGGTCGGTGTTGTATACAGCCGCCTTTCGGACGTAAAGTTCCCGTTCCTCATTATGCACGACCCCGGAGACGGTGAGATGTTCTGCGAACAATTTCAGCTAAACAATTTTTGTCAGTGCTATGGCGTTGTTATTGACTATAGCGCACCGTCGATGGCTCATGGTATCGCACTCCTTGACAGTTTTTTTAGTCTGATCTACCAGAATCAGGCCTATCGGTAGGGCTGTGGTACCAAGGGTAACCACTGACTTGATCTGAGGGAAATTTTAGAGTTTAGGCGTAGTTGATGCCTGAGAAAAACATAGCTGCCCCATGTCGTATTTTCTAGAATTTATCGTCCCCCAAACGCACTACCCGAGCTATGGGCCTCGACTGAATTCATATCTAAACGCGTTGCAACGTTTTCTCAAGAGCATCGTTTGAGAATGTCCTTGGGCAGCAGCTCCTCTCCACTGCCTCGCATGGCACTGTGTTCGGCCTTGTTGTGTTCTGCGCATGCTACGACAACCAAACGTCACGATTTTGGAAGCTAAGCCCTTTCGCAAGATATCGTCCCCAAGGAGCCCGGATGCGCCTCACGCACCTATCCTGGTTGGACGCGATTCGCCAAACACCTCACTGCGCTTCGCGCATGGTTCTTTGCAGACACCCCATGATCAGCTCTTTCTCAGCGTCAGGAGGATGGGCGTCTAGAATTTAGGTCGAACGAACCGATTGGGAAGATTCTTATCTATCAAGTAGCATTTAATCGCGCCTCTCGAGATGCACCGGTCGTCAAAGGTAAATAACCAAACACCAATAAGTAACAAGTGAGTGCGAACCCCACCCACCCTGCGCAACCCCGGTGGACTTGCCGTGCCCCTCACGGAAATGGTATGTTCTCGCGGGCGTTGGAATGTGCGTCATCGTACCTTCAGCTATTGTCCAGTTTGGTCCAGCGCGTGAGTTGATGGAGAAGGCAGCCACTCCAAAGGATGACCCAAGGGCGAGGTGAGCGAGAGCATTTTCACTACGAAGCTTTCGGTTATTCCGAGCGCGAAGCTTTCGTGGGTTGGTCGAGCTTGTTCTATATAGTCTAATTTGTGCCTTGTACGACGTCATGTCCACACGTCCGCGCGAAGACTGCTGTATTTCCAAAATCAATTCTAGGTTGATCAATTATTTGTGTTTACAGTAGACTGCCAAGCTCGGAGCGTGCGTCGGGGTATTATGCATGAACACATGCACAGCACGGAAGTCGCGGCGGTGACATCTTCGCTCCGTTTTTATTCCGTCCCTCATATTACGGCCCGCACCGTCATGCCTATGATATTCATTTGCGCACAGGGAGCTCAAAGAGATGGACGGCTGGCTGCACGACCTCCTCACCAACTGCCCGGACCTTATCATCGGACACTTGACGGACTGGATTGTCTACCAGATAAACCGCGCGTAACCCCTGCCGCCCTCCACCGCCCGCGGCACACGGGAGTGACGGAGTCAGAACCTTGAACCCGGTCGGGTCGGTCGGCAGGCCATCTTCCGCGTTTCGTCTAAGTGTCATCCGAGGTTGGGCTGTGGCAGTTCGCTGGAAGAACCCTCCCTCGGCCATTTGTACATTTTGGGATAATTCTTCGTGTTGGAGGGATGGGGCTCCGGGACACTACGGGTTGCTCTAACACCTCCAAGGATCTGGTTGGTTTTCCGACGGGACAACCGCGCATTGTGTTGGCATGCAGCAGGAGAGCCATGGGTTAAAACCCATTGCATCGGACCTCAATCAGCGACATTGATCCGCACGTTATTTGGCGATTGCGTAGATCGAGGGTACGTGTTACCTTATTTCTATGTGCGAACCCCCCCCCCGGAAAAGTAGGCATCGACACTTGGAGGTTTCATTGCAGCAAATCAATTTCTCCATCGTCGCGCCCGTATTATGAAGAAAGTGACGTCAACACACACTGTTCGTAAACGTTGCTCATCTTGCGGGTGCGTATGAGGATCATAGTAGCTCGGTGAAATCAACGTTTCAGCCGCACATGTTAACAACCGGCACGGGAGGGTAGGCATCGCATATCCTAGACGGGCCATCGAGAGTACTCTGACTAATCTGTACTTGAGTACCGTTGTTTTGTTGTAAAGAGTGGGCAGGTGACGCGCCGCGCTCGCTGTCCTTGTTGCTTGCGTTGTGATATCTATCTTGTGTATCTAGTGTAACTTATGTCTGAGTTGGCCTAAACCGAAAGCCTTGTACGGGCAGCCATACCACGAGATGGTACCTGTTGTGGTATTAACAGAGGTCGCTGTGTTTCGCATTTTGAGAAAAGATCAGCCGAGCGGACTTGTTGCCACATTTGAAGCCAGACTCAGCAAGATTTGGGAGGTGCCGATCTAGATCACTAGGTTCAACTCAGGAACACCGTGGATAATATGCATTCGTCGCGAAGGAAGCAGATGGTCACATGGAGAATTTTTCACCCAGTTTTTCTTTTCTTCGAAGATTATGATAGGTGTTTCCAACAAGGATGCCGGTATCGAGACCAAATGCCCCCCTCGCCCGAGGGGAAAATTCCTTGATCGTTTACACAGCTGGTGAACGAAGTCCAGTCACGCCACCAAAGCTGAAAATAAGCAAGCGCGGTCGCGATAAGAATGCCGCTGGGTGAAGTGCTTCTCGTGCCCCCACCTCACATGACGTGTCCTGTTTGTTTCGAAATAGCGCGCAGAGATGTCGCCCCCTCACACGTCAACTTGGAGCACAACCTCACCTGCCTTCATAACACTCCCAAATTCACGAATGATACTAGCATGCTGACCTTGAATGCAGCTGGAAAATGACTCATCCATTTATCGAGGGTAGGCACCATCCCGCGATAGTACCTCCTGATGCCACAACACAATTTAATGGCTTTTCAAACCTTCGCTTGAAGAGCAGGGCCAGGTCCAGGGACCACTTCCATGTCACGTCCGAAAGGTGAATGATAAGTTATACAGCTGTGGCCTTGCAACGGACGTCAATATGTTGAAAAAATGTTACAGACAGCAGGCAGGGTCCCATGCTTCACCCAGCGCTGCTCCCCGGACGTCCCAGGGTCCCTGAGAGTACGGACCCGTGCCAAATATCTGCCGAGGACCTCTACAAAACATTCTCAAAGAGGAAAATGATTTTCATCTTCGCGTGGAGAGGCCTCCTATTCGTGTGAAAAGCGCGGAGGCCTTTTTATGGAGGGATCAGAGAGAACGGCTAGAGGGTGAAGATGGCCGGACCGCTCCCTGCGCTCTCATCGCTAACGCCCAGTACTCCTTTGACGAGGATTATGTTGCCGTACTTGGCTGTCTCCCCGGTGGACACGACGGCGTAGCACGAACGCGCGCGCTCGTAAAAGGCGAAGCGCTCCACGCGCTCGACCTTGAACATGCCGGGCTGCCGCCGAAGACGTGGACACCAACAGGAAATAGCGACGGATGAGCCGTCCAATAGTGGTCGATGCAGAAAAAAAAAAAAAACGTCGGCGACGTTGCTTCCGTAGAGTGATCGATGGACATGGTCGGCACTTTTACCCACCACACACAATAGTTCCACCGATAAACCAGACAACGAAGCCAACGAAACGAGCAGGGTGGCATTCGTTCTCTTGCTTCACTTCGGCTACCTACTCCTACACCGGCTCCAACATTTCGCTGTCATCGACGACAAACGCCGTAGTAACGGTAAAACAACTGCACCAGAATCTGGAAACAGACTCACCTGCTCCGCCTCGACGGCGGTGCTAAATCTCTCCTCTATTGACGCGTCGAGCTCGTCTCCTGGCACCGCCGCCATCATTTGCACGGGAAACTCCGTATACGTGTCTAGCGGGAACAGCTTCGAAACGGCACGTAGAAGAGGAGCGACCTCGTGACCGTCAGCACGGACCGTAATCGGCCCCGGCTTCCCGGGAGATGTCAGGTTCTCCGAGGGAAAGTTTGCGTCGGCGAAGCAGATGGAGTCGCCGTGTCCCATACTGCATGTGCGTTTCGGTGTAGACCCGCAGGGGGGGGGGATTACGGAAGTTCGCCGTGTCGGGCCTGAGCTGCTGGCATTCATGGGGGCGTCTTTTATCTGGTGAAGGGGGAGCCAGCCCAACAAGGGCACAACTATGCGCACAAATAATGCACCGGAGAGGAGAACATATGGCAGTCAGACCGGCTGGAGTTGTCCATAAAATTGAAAGTCGTGGTGACAACGTGATATCAGCAAAGCGTAGAAGACATTGCTTTCATTCAAAGAAGTACGAGACGAGGCCGCGCTTACATTGTATGCTTGGGGTTTCCCGTACCCAGGTGGTAGTTATCATATGTGGTCAAACAGGTGTTGTGGTGAGTTGTCACCACATAGTACGTGATGCAAGAAACGTTCTTGCTGTCTGCACCTTCAAAAAAACGTTTTGGTCTCGGCTAAGTACCTTGTAGCATCCGCACTGGTCCAGTTGACGCGGATGCTCTCCGGGGTTACAGACAAACTATGCCAAATGGAACGAATGAATATCCTGTGTGTGCTCGTCCCATCTATTCTGGCGCCGGTGTACAGGCCTTTCGGCGTACATACATACCTGACGTATCACCCGGGGTCACACAAAGGAAGGTCACACAGGAGCTTTTTCATTTTTCCATTCTTGTTTTCGTATTGCCCCACCTTGCCTTTCCCCCTGCGGTGCTTGCCTTACATAGTTTTTGTCGCGAGAAGGGATAAATAAGCCATCCCTTTCCCTCGTCCACCGTGAACCCGAAGTTTGATTGCTTACGAGTGTTATGTAGATCGCTTTAACCCACCGAGTGCTGGAAACGTATCCCGGGAAAACGAACCCACAACCTGTTGCAAAGGAATCGTGCAGGCTGGCTGCTGTAGACCACACACCTATTGCACAGCCCAAAATTCATCACAAACCAAAGTATACAGAACGCGCCGGTACTGGAAGCCCCAATGAGGACACTTTGGGGACACAACAACACTCAAATGCCTATTTTTTGCACTGCAGTCACTCTAGGCTCCGCTGTGTGCAACGCACGTGAGACCCTTGGTCTATTTTGCTTGGCTGAGGTGGTACGCTGTGTGATATGCTGTGTGATGCCTCTCCTGGACTTCTGACTTGCCGTACACATCTATCTCCCAACCCGCGTCCCCCCTAGTCTATATCGTAAAACTGTACATCGCCTGGTCTGGATTTTTTTCCAACTTGGCTTCAGGCCAGTTGTTATGGTAAATTTTCCGATTTGGAATCTCGATATTACGCCTTTTACATCTAAACCCCCATGAGGCCGCAGGAGTTCTGCGTACTTGGTTGGAAATGCTCACATAAGCGCTTTGGCACTCAGTACTCGCCTCACAGAGACCCGTTTGCATTCAAACCTTCGAGGCCGCGTAGAGCATTGCTGTGAGCCTCTTCGATCCAAGTTTGGGGAGCTGCGGTGCAGTGTGTGTTCACCATGCTTGGTAAAATAGGAATTCCAATTTGGAATTGCTGGACGATCCGGGTGGGAATTCCTCATGAAATCCCAACTGGAATTGGTTGGAATTCCAAATTGGGAATCGTGAATTTGCTTTCATATCATTGCATACTCTACGCACACTACACTCTAGCTGCCCAAACTTGGCTCCGAGAAGCTCACAGTAGTGGAGTGTACAGCCTTATCGGTTAGATGGCAAACAGGGGTCTGTGAGGCGAGGACGAACTGACAAAGCGCTTTGGTGCTCTCTGGTTGCTGCCCAGTACGCAGACCTCCTACTTTTAGGGGGTGGTGGAGCACTATCTGCCGATCCCCCGGATTCCAAATCGGAAAAATTCTCCATAACAACTGGCCTCAGTATGAAAAGTGTTCCAACGTGTCCCCACGCGTTTTGGGGACATTTTCCACACTGAAGCCAAGTCACCCGTTGTCTGTCAAGGAGCTCAGATTCTTTGGAGGGACTGTAGTCCCTTGAGCATTGGTTGACAAACATTTTTGCGACATTTTTTTTTTTGCGGAGGGACCCAGTGGGTACTGTACTACATGGAGAGTTCAGAACCTCTGCAGTTTTCTTGGCCGAGAGGCTGAGGTTCTTAGTTCCTAGGGTCGTACGAATGGTCGCTATAGAGGGTTTAGTGTAGGTCACAAATGGTGCTCAGTGTTTTAAAAGTGATTGTTTTGAGGCTCAATTTCTCAATCTCCCACACTACTGGCAGTTTGTTTGCGAAACCGCCCTTGCGGCACCCATGGGCACTCCATGGGCCCAGGGCACTTTTTTGTAAGGCTGATAGAGCAACCAGCAACACAATACCGACAGGCCCCAGTACAGCAGGACTGTTACCGGAAAAACCGTTTATTCGCCCTCATCATGTACACTTCTCACCGTGCCAGGGTAACCAGCAGATCGGGAGAGATCAGTGGAGAGATGCCGATAAGACCCATGGTCCGAGGTGTTCCGTGTTCGTTGCCTGGTGGATTCCGTTGTCTCTCACTTCCAAGGTCTTTGGCTCGTTTCTCGACCTATTCCCTTGGCGTTGAGCAGGGCTATAGTCTATATGTGGTTTTTCTTTCTTCAGTACAGTCGTTGGTGCTACCAGCCGAAGTCAAGATTCTCAGATCTGACACAGAGTTGCTGGGTGCTGGAATCCCGCCGCCTGTGCTGGAATCTCGCCGCCCGCCGCCGGTCTGCGGGAATCCCGCCGCCTCTGCAAGTCTCAACGCAAACACGCAAACCCTCTGTCTTCAAAGAATACGACGCATTTACAGCTAGGGGTCAAGCGAGTGGGGAATGGATGGTGACACTTGAAGCCCGACAGGTGTGATGATGGCCGCAGACTGCCAGGCCAGTCTAGCCAAAAATGGTTTGACAGCTACAATACATTCACATGCCGTCAGCTCATCATGTGTGTGAACAGTGTACAGACTCTAGCGGGCGGAGGAACAGCGTGCGAGTAGGTGTAGACAACGTACTTGTTTGCGTACCCGGACAGACTACAGCTTATCAGGCCGGAGAAACTAGTTGCCATGTCGCTCGCGACACTGCTAACCCTAGGATTGGACACGACATACTGCTGTAATATCAGCAAGTCGGTGTCTGAGGTACCGAGTACACGTAGTTCAAGTAACGACAGTCCCGCACACCCGCACTTGGAATAAATCGAAAATTCCGTATGGTCACGTGGACCATCGAACATGTGATGGAAATGTATGCAGTCCGCATTCCTCACCTTGCGTTGTATGGTACCGGCGCCAGTGTAGTGGTGAGTGGCCGCCAGAGGCGGCAACAAGAGGCGGGGGGCGGGGGTGGGGAGGGCATGGACCATGATCCTACACTGCCGGGGCCTCCCGTCGAAACGACAATCGATAACAATAGTAAACGATAATACGTTTTACCTACCAAGGGCACACGAAAAAATATTTCGGAAACCACCCGACAAAACTTCATTTCGAACCTCTCCGGGGGGGGCGGGGGGCGGGGTGCGAACCCCCCCTCCCCCCTCCCCAACTCCGCGCAAGGGGGATAATCGCACCACGTTGTGTTAAAATGGTCGAGCATCCTCGAGGTGGTTACACAGTGCTTATAACTGTCTCTGGAAGTGAAAGCATCAGAAAATAAATTAAGTCATACGCAGCTGTCATCCGTACGCAAGGAAGTACGCACAAGATGCCGAACACCCTTAGCAGGATGTAGCGAACGCTTCATGCGACTCGCCGAATACCTCACGGCGCTTCGCGCTTGGTGATGTGAGAGCCTGGTCTGGCGAGAACCCGGCGTGCTCCGTCCCGGCTTTGTAGGGATGCGAGGTCAATGGTCTAACGACTCCGGCATGCACGACTATGAGTACACCCCCCCCCCTCCACCTTTCCAATG